TGGTGGTGATCCGGATCAATAATCAATCAATAATAATAATAATAAATTGCCGCCTTGGCGGAGGTCTGCGCTCTCGGAGTGCTTTTCTAGTTGATAGAAAATTTTGGCATTGTATTTAATACATTCTAGAAAAAGAGGAGATTTAATGACGCTAAGTAGGCCAAGCCCCTATTCATTAAATTAGTTCGATCACATTTTCAATACACATTTTCAATCAATAATAGGTATAAATAATTATGTTCGTGATCCAAGACTGTCAATATCATGTCACGTTTTGGCTAGAGATGGGACTGCCGACTTAAATAAAAAATATAATAATAATAATAATAATAATAATAAGTATGTCTCATTGATTATTTTTAATTCACCCATATTTTATTTTACTTTACAATATTTCTACAGTAGGCCCTACTTTTTATCAAAATATAAAGGGCTTGAAAATTATTTTCTTGACGAATTTGTTTAAGAACAAAATTTTAAATCAGCGTTTTGAGCTTTTCCTCGTATGAAAAACACCAGTAAAAATAAACATAAAAATAGTCTGACGGAAAGAAAAGTGTTATCCATAGGGGAGCCTTTTTTTCCATGTTCTGTTTAAACGTTTTCAAAGATCCCTTTCATACAAATAAATTAAGACAATCGAGCTACCATGAATTGAAGCGCCATCTATGAGAACGTTGCCTGTAAACATGGCCACATTGCGAAGGTCGTTTCGTTTATGTGGTCGGTTCTCCCATTTATACACTCGTTGTCAGGGTAAACTACCACTCCACAGAAGATGCATGTCGGTGGTTTCTTGTATAGATCGTAAGTATTAGTTACACGTGGTTCATATCACCAAATAGTCGCTATGCAATATTAATCAACTTTTCGTTCGTGTTGTGTAACTTACTAACTACACCTTTAACTTTGCCACTGAGGGTGAAGGCTCCTTCAGCTGTTGGAGCGGTTGATGGCTGTAAATTTCGTATCCATTTACCGTATCCATTTTTGTATCTCGGCATTAACATTTCCAGTTAAGTGACATTTATGTTTAGATACATGATTAAATGTTCAAATATTGAAAGTGCACCTTAATTCATGTCAGAGTGTTCTACATGTATTTATACAGCAGTTCATTATTATATATACATAGTGTCAGAACAATGGGATAATTATGTGCACCTGGTTGTGCCGTTCTCATAAGCTAGCTCTGTGTAGCAGTCTGATTATTATTATTATTGAATTATTATTTTTTATTTAAATTTCTTGGCTCTTTGTACATGTATGATGATTGTTATTTCATATGTTATAGCATCTATGGGATTAAATGAAGAACAGCAGCAGATCCAGAAATTAGCAAAAGACTTTGCTGCTAATGAGATGTCTCCTCACATGGCTCAGTGGGACCAGGAAGTAAGAGAATGTATTTGAACCTAGAAAATTGAAGGAAGAAATATTTGAAATTATTCCCTGTAACATCCTCCATTTTGCTTTAGTGAGATTATGTTATTGGTCAGCACTATAAATATCTACTTTGGTTGATACTTTTAAATTGGCATTTGCAAAGAAATGTTCTGTATACCCAGATAGCAAGCATACGTTGGGCCAACGTTGGCCCAACGTTGCCTTGGTTGACCGTGCAACGTTGGCCCAACGTTGGGTTTCCATCTAAGTGCTCACTTTGGCCAACGGTTGGCTGAACGTCTTTTTAATGCCAACGCATTGCCAACGTATTCCCAACCAAACTGCGTTGGCCCTACATTGGGCCAACTAATAACCAACATTGATCCAACAATTACCCAACCTGTAACCAACAGTGTATTTACGTTGGTTCTACAAATAACCAACATCAGTCCAACAATTACCCAACCAAACTGCGTTGGCCCTACATTGGGCCAACTAATAACCAACATTGGTCCAACAATTTCCCAACCTGTAACCAACAGTGCATTTACGTTGGTTCTACTAAAAACCAACATCAGTCCAACAATAACCCAACAAATAATACAAAAAGACAACAAAGAAAATTTTTATAAAATGTTATAATATTGTATTTAAACATTAATAAGTGTGTCTTATATCAATTGTTACATGATTCACATCAAGAAAAAATATCAACAGTCCTATGACTTTTCACTTATTCCTGGAGTCAAGGCATTTTTCTACTAGTAAAGTCTTTTTTTGCCTCATTTCAATTTTTAAAAATATTTTCATTAAATTGAATTTTAAACCAGAAACCCTTGTTAATGTCAGGTAAGATGCTTTTCATAAGTTACATGTCAAGTCTATAAAATCACAGTCTCTTCCTTCAGGCAAAATCTCAGACATTGTCTCTTTAAAAATNTTAAGAACTGATCTAACTTGGAAGCCCAATGTGGTCCAACTTACTATAAACTGACATCTGATTCCGAATGCCAATTGACATCAGTTGCACCATTTCCAGTTCAAGCAATTTTGTCATGACAGTGCCTCTTAATAGTAACATTTTTTCACAGTACATTAAAAAATTATATAGCAATGGTCTTGTGTAATCCAACCTGCATGATGTTTCCATTTCAGGTACAAATGAAGTGATGAAGATGTTGGTTTCAAGAGATGTGCTCAAGGATTAAAAATAAGATTTCATGGGCAGATAGGGAGTGGCTTATGAGTATTCCAGCAGACTTTCATAATTTTTCAAGTTTACATTGATGGACTTCTGATTTTTTCTGTTGGAAGACAGTAAAATATGGCGGATGGATCAACAAAGATAATTTGGAAGACTGTCAGAAAATATCTTTGGATCTGTTTTTTTTATGTCAAAATGAACATAAAGTATTGCCTAGGCAGCTATAGTTGTTTTCAGTATTTGAAATGTGCTTAGCATTTCAACCAGTGCTAGTCATTTGCTCAGTAGATATTTCAATGCTTACCTGTGAAATCATGACAAAAAATTTGAGAGTTTCAGAAGCAAACACTCGTACTATGTAAGACTGGTGACAGCTTCACTGTGATTATGATAATAAAATTTGTTTTTAACAATAATCCACACAACCATCACATCAGTGATGATCTCTGAAATGAAACAACACTTATTACAGTGGGAAGCCATTTCAATTTTAAAATATGAAATCCACTTTTCTCAAAAAGCACAGGAGTTCAAGTGTTAGGGGAACCATCATATGGATGGAACTGGAAAAGGCATAATGAACAAAGCCTACAGCATTATATTTATTGATCATGCACCATAATTTTAGGTATAATTTTTATGACAAATTGTGAGAATATTTCATACCTATGCAAAATAAACTATTAATAATGATAAAGCATTTGTCATCAAAATTTACATTACATAGATGAAGGTACTGATTTCTATGAAAATTGTAAAAACGACCATGTCGGACAACTTGGCATTTATATTCATGAACAAGTACTTTGGAACTCGATGTTTATCACAAAGATAGGAACTGCCCTAATATTAATATGTGACTACAACAAGGCACTGGTTTTACCAGGATTACAAATACATAATTCAGATTGACTTGCTAACCTTGACATACAACGTCTCCACAACGATATGATAGTTAAACATCTGTAACTTAATTCTGTAAGTTATAACATGTTTCACTACAAACAGAATCCTAAAAACTATAAAGACATTACAAGTTATATAAATATTGACAAACAGCATTATTAAATTTTAAAAATGTTTTGAATGTAACATGACTTTCAATTAATGTTTGACAAAAACTGAAACTGGTGCCAAAAAGGCATTAATTGAATGATGTACAACAGGACTATTTGCAATTTCATAGAGGGTTCTTTTCTATAAAAAAAAAAGTGGACATTCTTACCCAGTTTATTGGCCCAACCTGAGAAATGGAATCAAACCTAAAATGCAATTGGCATTCAAAATGGACCTGTTCTGGGATGGTTCTTTGTACCTTGCCTACAGGCCTGATCTGATGAAATGTCTCCATACTAAGATATATAACAATCATAAATGAAGCAATAAGCCTGGTGTACTTTTTGACTTAAAAATCAAAATAAAGTTCTACTAAAATCAAAATAAAGCTCTGTTAAAAAATCAACATCAAGATATGTTGAAAAATCAAAATGAAGCTTGAGAGATAACATCTGTGATACAAAACTAATGGAAAAATTACATCACTGTCTAACTGAAAGACAACCAGCATGACTGTGATATCTTGCAAAATCAACACCTCCGGCAATGGATTGTTGGAGACTAGCATTAAATGATGATTTGGTCCAGTCATTTCTACATCAATAAAAGTAAAACATATTTCAATTAATTCAAAATGCTGTAGAGGAACCCTTTTTGTTGATTCATTAATTATAAAGTCTTGTTTCTCATCATGAACTGTCACTATTGTTGTGCTTCAGTTTTGTCTTTTAGACAAATAATCACACATACATATGTATTGCTACACAAAAATCTCTTCACTTCACCTCTGAGTACTGGTACATAATTTCAGTCACATCCCCTGACTCACATATTATAAATCATGCATATAATTAGATATAATTTCACATTTGGTAAAAATATCCTATTCATAAATACACTTTTAATCTGCTGTACTGTACTGTACACCTGAAGTCTGTATGAATGAGCAAATCATAAATCATTTAAAAACAGGTTTTCATAGTACTATTCAGTAAAAAAATCTAACATACAAATGATATAGAATACAATGTAAAATTGCTGCTTCTTTAGTTTGTATAATCATGGAAATATTCTTGTAATGTCAATCAAGTGTCATGTGATCACACAAGATCAGGCCTACCCAACTACCAGACTTGGCACATAAGGATCCTGAAATAACCGGTATATCGGACCACACTACCCGTTTTCAAGGTGTGTGTCAGATCGCATTTCGGAGTGTCATACCCCAGAACAAACTTTGTAGGACGACCGCAGGCTCATCCTGTCGGTGTTCTGACTGATACTCTGAAATGCGATCTAACACACACCTTGAAAACGGGTAGTGTGGTCCAGTATACCGGTAAATTCAGGATCCTTATGTGCCGAGTCTGGTAGTTGGGTAGGCCTGAAAATGTCTTTATAAAAATTACAATTAGCACATGGATTCTTTCCATGGCAGTGACATGTGTTAGATGTGACATAATGGTGACAGAAGTGACAAAATTGCATTAGTTGCACCTGGAGGTCAATGAAACCTGTATTTCCTGGCTGGTTTCAGATTTACATAAGTCTTTTTCATTTCTTCAGAGTCATCTCTCTTGACTTCAGAGAATTTCTCTCCTCTTTTGCTCACTACCTGGCTGTCTCTGTACATTACAAGCTTCTTAGGCTCCTTAAAAGTTGTTTAATAAGAGAGATTTCTGTATAGCGTTTAAAGAATTCCTATTTTTGCCATCATGAATGGAACGTTATCCTACCAGCTACATTTACTAAGATTATGTAATGGCATATTGCTGTATATCTTTTTTTATTTGTTAGCAATGCTTTACTAGTATTTAATATAATAGAAATTACCAACATGCAAGGTGCATCCAAAAATACAATATTCCAGAAACACACTCACAAATCCTTTTACTTCCACTAAATATTTCATAAAGTAAAACAGTGTCAGCCTACTCACCTGTTTGGGTAATGTTGGTTGATGGGTTCTTTTGTCTTCATCTTCATCCACATACCCATACCTAAATTTGCATAAAACAAAGTGAGCAATTATATTTATGTATAACCTTTCATTCAGCATCTGGTACCCCACAAAACATGTAGCACAGGAACTGTGGTTTAGTAATCAATAAATGTTTTCACAAGCATTATTATGAGAAGCAGATTATTCCGAATTGTAAACTTAGGACTCAAATCATGTTCTTGATACATGAATGTTTTATAGCCAGTGCCAGATTTGGAGCACCTTTTCAAAGTCATTTTCATCATGTTTCAGCTTACCTTGAAACTATTGCATCTTTTATACCATCGGCAGCTACTAATACTGTTGGGTTTCTTTTAGCACTCTTCTTATTTGTCTGATAATGAACAAAATCAAAATTAATTACATTTTTCATAATAAAGAATATTTCAAATAAGATTTAGTGAATTAAAGAAACAAACTTCTTCAATCCAGCGTCACTTATTCTGACTGACAGTTGACCTATATTATCTTCCATAAATATTGGATCATCATCTATCATACTCAGCTTCCAATGTTCATTCAAGAGTCTCATCATTGTAAACCTGGATTGTCTAGCTCACTGGTATTATAGCTTAGTTCAAAATAACATACAAGACAATGTTTCACGGCTAAATTAATAACATATAGCAAGTTTGCTAAGATAATGAGAAAAATAAATCTCATACTGGTTCTTATGGTTAAATAGAGATAACATTTCGACCTTATCACAAGGTTTCTACAGGTGAACCGAGTTAGAGTCGTCACTGGTGCCAGGTGGTGACAGGCCTCGTGATATGGTCAAAACGCCGTGTCAACTTAAGATCCAGTATAAGATTTAATTTTCTCATTATCTCAGTAAAATATAACAGGATAAATCAAAACATTCACTATGACATACAGTTTTCCATAGTGTCAGAGCTCCACTTTCCCATACATTTCTCCTGACTTAGGTAAGGAGAGTAGTCAGAGGGTATTTCAAATTACATTCAAAGGGTTTGAAACATTTAACTGCGAATCAAAATAAACCCCTCCCACAACCAATTCCACAATATTACCAATGTCAAGGAAGACAAAAGGTTAAAACTATCAAAAGACTACATTATGTTTTCTACCTTCTTTGTTAGCTGTTCCCCCGTCTCTATTCTATGTAAAACCAGTTGGACAGCCCTATCAAGGTCCCCCTCAGCCACCTTGAGGCAGTGAGTGACCTCTATACTGCAGGAAGACGGGAACATTTCTAGTAGTAATGACACCTGAGCTTGTTCTACGTGATCCTAAAAATACATATATAGATTTGCAATTTAAAACTGTTTAACATATGCATTTATGTTATTTTCAAATTTAAGAAAACCTGGCAGTTCAAGAAAACAAAGGTGTATAAATTTTACAATTCAGTTGATTACATACAGACAGAAAAAAATGTACGAACTTGAGAGTCCAAACTTGGAGCAGCAGCTCCAACTGAATCTACTGAGTCCTCAGATGTCTCTGATATACTGTGAGCTCGTTTTTGTGATAGTGCTGATATTGTTGTGGTTTCACTTGTATCTAAATCTGCTGAAACAGACTTGTCCTTTGGCTTTCCAGGTATATGAAAATTGGAGTTTCTGTCTTCATCTTTATTTGTTGATGTTGCTGTAGTGGGCACTGTAAAGAACAAATGTGAAACAATTAGATATGAAGATGACAGTGTGGAAACAGAATGAAAAGTATTTAACCAAAATTTTTTCCCACTTCACTACACTTATCTTTCAAAAATACATATTTGATGAGACGTAGCATTGTGAACACAATAATCTTATGTCCCACAAGTCCAGTTTCAAAACATATCACCTACCTTCATTCTGAACTTCAGCAAGTCTTTTTGCTAATGTGAATATCCATTCACAAACCTTGGAACTGGAAAAAAAAACAGTAAGTTGAAAGTCATGTGACACTGTGAAAACAACCTGGGTTTTAAAGTCATAATAACTCTTCGTTTTGGCCAAAAATTGGATTTTCCTGGAAAAAACGGCAATTTTCCCGTACTTACCAATGGCCAACGACCCCATTCCTGCATTCAAAGTTAATCCAGGGTTTTTTTCCTAAACGTACGGTTTTTTGTTAAAATCTCTTAAGAGATTTTAACTGACGGAGCTCTCTCTGACATTGCAAAGTCACTGGTGACCTACTTAAAACCGCGGGAAAAGCAGACAACAACAACACTATATAAGATTCATGAGATATATTCGTCTTTTTGTTAAAAATGCATTTATATCCACAATGTGTGCCATTCTGGGCTTTTCGTTATCCGACGCACTGTACAAAAACTCGCAACTTACGTCTGCGTCTGCACTAATGCGTTTGGCGCCATGTTATTTTGGTCTCGAATGAACGCGAGAATCCGCGTGACACCATTACGTCATTAGCAACGAATGCACTTGTCGACCGGAAAAAAGGCATCGTAAGCCCTATTGACAAGCACAGATTTTAGTTTTCCTACAATAACGGCCGTTTTAGTGGTAAAATACAATAGAATATATTTCCATGCGTTTTTTACAATGTATTTCATGCGGATTTTTGAATCTCAAAGGAAGAGTTATTATTGCTTTAATATCCCAATTAGTAGTGTGTGATTCCATAAAGAGATCAATGGTATACAAAATACTAATATATAGTTTGACTAATATTTGCCAAACAAAGCTGAGATTTTGCAATGTTACTTACAATCTAATTGACCAAGTAAAAATGGTAATTTGAATGATACGAGTACAGTTGCACGATCAAGATTTCATGGCAATCAGTAGTAGCCATTAATAAATACAAATTCTGAGGAGTTGAAAAACGCCAAGGAGTGAGAACAAAAAAAGTATTTATGCCTGCTAAACATACAGCAAAGATCACCATGAACCTTACCTATCTACATCTTCGAATCCTGGTAAATATGCAGTGATCATTTCACAGAATTCATCAATATCAAATCCTTCTTCATCAATGCCTTCTGTACCCAAGTCCTCTAATACACTGACTATGTAATTAAGGACTATATCATCCACAGCACTGAAATATCAGAGTTATGTATAGATAATACACTTTTAACTGAGCTACATGTGCCACTACACCCAAGTATCAGTGAGTGGTGTTCAAAGCATATCTTGCAGTGTATTACTTGACATGCATGTACATATCATGTGAACCTACGGTAAATCACATTTAACTGAAAAACACCCCTAAAACCAAACCAATAAATTATCACCATAAAATGTGTTCATTCATCCATGTTGAAAAATGACAGACATTTCAATTGGTTGGCCAAGAAATGTGTTTATAAATTTTAAATCAAAGGCGTAACTCCTGAACCATTGTAATGCAAATGAGGGCCCGTGTAACAGAAAGTCCACCTTACATTTAGTTATAATGGTTAGGGTTAGCCAGACCTCAGGGGGTCAATTTCTAGGGTGAGGCGTAGCTGTACAAATTAATGGGAAGCAGACTATCCATGGGGACTCTCTGTCATGTTACACCAGCACAGTACCTGATTGAAACACCCGTTGCCTCTTGCTGCAAAAACGTAAATAAAGAATCTTTGACGACTTTCTCCTTTCTCATCTCGGTTTCTGGCCAAATGTCCTTATGTTTTACTACACTCAGTCAGTTATCTGAAATTAAACATAATTAATTAATGTTAATAAAAATAAAAATAATAAAGCAGATTCAGTGGTACACTGTAACAAAATGCCGCAGCAAGTTTAAATTTAACTGCCTTACTTCAACTAGTCCGAAGATAGTGCCCTTGACTCTTTTCTTCAAAACATCTCACGTACAGTACTTATTTAATTTCAAACCTACCAGCAGTAGGTGTACGTATTGGAACAATCCGTTGTCCACACTCAAGAAAAGCACCAAACTGCACGTAAGGAACACCTTAATTACAAATATCCCTTGTTATCTTGGCAGCAAAACAATATAAAGTTCACATTTTGCAGAATACTAAAACTAAACACATATTCGCGAGCTTTCTTTTTGCAAAACACCCGCTGCATTGAAACTACCAAAAATAGGTTTAGCTTTAAAGAACGACATACAATCAACAAGACATGTAGTGTATTAAGAAACAAAATCACCCCATCTCGGGTTCTTTGCTCATATAAGATTATTATATACTCATCATGATGATTTAGTATAATTAATTTTTAATTTTTAATACGTAAAGATACTAAAGATACATGGTTGCCTTTGTTGATGTCGTTCACCTCTAACGTACTCATTGGTGGCAACGTGTACTCAAGATGCCGCACGCTACAGCTGAGCCCCAAGTACAGTTTTCTTATGAAGATTTTGTAAAGCTACACAGGGTACAGCTGGAAAGTGCGGCTGTTCCAGAGAGGTATTGGCACAAACTTCATGACAAATTAAAAGATGAGGTATATATATATGTAACTGATTATGTTACATTAACAAGAAAATTTCGGATCATCTTAAACTGTCAGTAAGTCAACTGTATCGCAACAAATTTGTGAAGTAGTACCTTCCTGTTGGTAAAGCACATCACTGTTAAGTCCCAATACTTTAGACAGTAAATAGATTATATAGATTTTAAGCATGTATAAATTTGTAATAGCTGTACACGTAAGTTTTAACTTCAAAACTTACTAGCTGTTCATTATTTGTCCATGCACGATGATACAGTTATGTTTACACTTCAGGTGTTTGATGCTGGAAGTGTATTTGGTCTTATGAGAGTGGAACATGTTGATGAGGATGGTGAAGAAACAGGAAAGTATTCATGGAAAGCAGCAGTGACTGATGATGAGGGTGTTGATTATTTGGATGAGAAACAGTAAGGGGTTTCAATAATGTTTTGATTGAACTTGCAATCAGAAAGACTTCCTTTTACTTGTGTAGTTTACTTACTGCTTTATTAAGGAAGTGTTTAAGATGTAAATTAAAATATCTAATTAATGTTGCATATATTGTAAAAGTTTCCAAAATTAAGAAGTTCACTTGACCATTAGTTGTTATTGTGGCAAAAGCAAAGTGAACAGGTGCAGAAAAATATGTTTTCAAAACTCTGGCTAATATAATTTTAGCATTTACCTGATAGACCATGCCTGGTCATACAGTGCAGATAAAGCTAGGGCACAGCTGCGTGTTGTACCTGGCTTGGCAGAAAGAATGGCTGGTATCATGGACTTGAAAACTGAGGGGAAAACCAAGGAAGAAATAGTGGAAGAAATTTTTAATGAAATGTGGAAGTACAATCAAACCTACAGTTTTGCAAATGCACCCAAGGTGGGTAGTTGTGCAGTTTTATATGACTATAATAGTTCATTTAAACACTTGTACTTGTGCACCTTATTTCACTATTATACAGAGAAACCAAACATTGTTAAGCAAATCCAGAGCCATTCCACAGAAATTGTCTGTTTGTGAAAACTTCGAACAGTGTAAGGTTTTCATTTGAAATATCAGCTTGTAATGAATGGTTGATTTAAACCGCATGTATATGTCTTTATTGTAAGTGGCATTATTTACAGAGCATTGTGAACACTTGAATGTCAAATAGATTGTTCACACTCCATTTTACCACATATCTTATTACCATTTTAGTGGTTTATGTGCTTATGTACCCTCAGACTTATCAAAGTGAATACAAACATTTACGCACATAAACATGAGATATCATATTCTTCAGATGATGAGCTTCAAAAGGCTAGCAAACAGTTCAGAAATAATGATAAAAATAATAACACATTTCAATCATTTTCAGGGCAGCGAGGAATCCTTTGCAGTTTGGTACATTATGGACGAGTTTGGATCCAGAATACAGCACTCATATGAACCTAGCTGTAGATTGGTGCCTTTTTTCTATGTGCCCATGCAGTTAACATTCTCCATATTATTTCCAGTCAAAAATTTAGAGGAAGGAGGTACTGTCATAGTTCTTTATTTATGCTATTTCAACAGACATTGATGAGAAACTTACTAAGCAATTTTGGCAAAGCAAACTATTTAGGGAATGAGAATTTTTTTCACTTAGGGTGAAGATGAGAATTGGATTAACCTACATAGACATGTGCTAGTTAAGTCTTTTATACACCAATGTCATACTGAGGAGATTAAACAGAACTTCCATGATATTTTACAGAAGAGATTACTAGAGACTATGCAGAAAATACAGATGACCCACTGGTAAAGAAAGCCAAGCTGTTACCTTGGGTGCCAGCAGACATGACATATATTGGCCACCAGCAGGAAGAGCCAGGAGAGGAGTACTTTGAAGTAAGGCTGATCTAGCCAGCTTTATCCATATTTCCTTTTTCATCTTGTTCTGTTACAGATGTTACAATTGTAGATAAATGTTAACTTGAATTGATAAAGCTACGCTGGTTAATAACGTTTGATTACCCATGAAGAATTATTGTTTGGATGTCAAGCTTTAGAGTGTTTTAATATTGTTCAGAGCCAAGAAAGCAGGCAGTCTAGTAAGAAGGTGAGTATAAACTTCCTGTCTATTTGAAGTCAATCATTAACGTACCTTTTACTTAATACATGGCGTTGCTTGTAATTGGTTGAACTTTTCAATTTTAGAAATACAGGAGAGAAGAACCATTGCCAAATCTAGACAAGACCTTTCCACCATTACCTGGAGACAGAAGAATCAAAGTGTTTACAGATGAGCAATATCTCCAGCAATATTTAACTAGTGACAGATTTGAACTAGTTAACAATGCAAAGGATGCAGACATCTTGTGGCTAATGGAACATTTTTTTGATCACAAGTAAGTACATACTAATGTGCTATAGGAAATTTACAGTAAGCCCCTTTTCCTTTCAGGCTATAACATGGTAAACTTTTAAAAATTTCTTCTCTATAAAAGACAACTGTAATAAAATCCAGAATTCTTGTTTGGCAATAAATTTGGTATTCTTTCATTTGAACAGGAATGTCAGCTTCATTGTTAATCTGTGTTCAGAAGATTTTTCAGGTATTTGACTTTATTTCTTTTAGAGAATTTAGTGAAGAAATGCCAGAGAAGTTTATAAACCAGTTTCCTCATGAGGCAGTATTGACTGTCAAAGATCTGATGCCTATTGTTGCTAGGAGAGTTTCTTCAGCAACTGAACAGCAAGATGAATTGGAGAGTCAGCCATATTGGTTATCACAGACCTATAACCTGAGTACTGAACTTCCCCAGTTTGCATCACTTTTCCAGAAACGGGAGTCTAAGTATGTTTTATTTAAAAAAAATGTCCATAAAAGTGTTGAAAGCATATTAGAAAAAGTAATGTAAACTAAAATACATTCTATATCATCCTGAATGACACTCCTTTATATACAAGTAAGATATTTCTCATAAAAAGAAATGTGAATCAAACCCCCACACACTATTGCAACTATGTATAATTGTATTGTTTTTTATCTTAAAAGAGTCAGCATGAGTTGAAAACAACACATTTGTATCTAAATTATACAATATGCATTGTCTTGTGCACATTGTTCTCAATTTGAGTTCACATTACATTTTGTATTGTTCCATCAAAAACTGCAATTGCATTTATGGATATTTATTTAAGAATAAACCAGATGTGAGTTATATAATTTTTTTACCTTCCTTTTAGGGGACTTGACAACCACTGGATCTGTAAACCTTATAATCTTAGTAGAGGCCTTGATATTCACATCACCAGCAACCTGAACTACATTATAAAATTGTCAGATTCTGGGCCAAAGGTATCATTGTTATTACATGGATTGACAGGCAATAGTTATTTACTCAAATTTACAAGAAAGAAACAAAAAAATGGTGGGCATCATATACTTGACTTGTTCTTAATTTGCTTTTTTGCAAAGAATTCAAGGCATTNTAATAATATTAAGTATGTCTCATTGATTATTTTTAATTCACCCATATTTTATTTTACTTTACAATATTTCTACAGTAGGCCCTACTTTTTATCAAAATATAAAGGGCTTGAAAATTATTTTCTTGACGAATTTGTTTAAGAACAAAATTTTAAATCAGCGTTTTGAGCTTTTCCTCGTATGAAAAACACCAGTAAAAATAAACATAAAAATAGTCTGACGGAAAGAAAAGTGTTATCCATAGGGGAGCCTTTTTTTCCATGTCCTGTTTAAACGTTTTCAAAGATCCCTTTCATACAAATAAATTAAGACAATCGAGCTACCATGAATTGAAGCGCCATCTATGAGAACGTTGCCTGTAAACATGGCCACATTGCGAAGGTCGTTTCGTTTATGTGGTCGGTTCTCCCATTTATACACTCGTTGTCAGGGTAAACTACCACTCCACAGAAGATGCATGTCGGTGGTTTCTTGTATAGATCGTAAGTATTAGTTACACGTGGTTCATATCACCAAATAGTCGCTATGCAATATTAATCAACTTTTCGTTCGTGTTGTGTAACTTACTAACTACACCTTTAACTTTGCCACTGAGGGTGGCTGAGCTGTTGGAGCGGTTGATGGCTGTAAATTTCGTATCCATTTACCTTATCCATTTTTGTATCTCGGCATTAACATTTCCAGTTAAGTGACATTTATGTTTAGATACATGATTAAATGTTCAAATATTGAAAGTGCACCTTAATTCATGTCAGAGTGTTCTACATGTATTTATACAGCAGTTCATTATTATATATACATAGTGTCAGAACAATGGGATAATTATGTGCACCTGGTTGTGCCGTTCTCATAAGCTAGCTCTGTGTAGCAGTCTGATTATTATTATTATTGAATTATTATTTTTTATTTAAATTTCTTGGCTCTTTGTACATGTATGATGATTGTTATTTCATATGTTATAGCATCTATGGGATTAAATGAAGAACAGCAGCAGATCCAGAAATTAGCAAAAGACTTTGCTGCTAATGAGATGTCTCCTCACATGGCTCAGTGGGACCAGGAAGTAAGAGAATGTATTTGAACCTAGAAAATTGAAGGAAGAAATATTTGAAATTATTCCCTGTAACATCCTCCATTTTGCTTTAGTGAGATTATGTTATTGGTCAGCACTATAAATACGGTATGACTGAAATGCGCAATACACCGCAATACAGCGCAACACAGCGCAATACACTTCAAAAATCAAATCCAGTTGCAATTACACTAAAGAAATGACCATTCCCAGCAAAGTAGGGTGATATAAAAACAACCTATATTACTAGGTAAGTAATATCGTTGATATAACTTAACAAATCAGCAAGACTTTTATATTGTCCTGTTGGCAGCCATGTTGGCGAGTGGCTCTTCTTGGATATATTACTGGCCAAGAAGAGCTACTCGCCAACATAGCGGCTGACAAAACAATGAAAAAATTGTCAAGTTGTATCAGCAATATTAATTACTATGTACTATATTTTGCTTTTATATCACCCTATTTTATTTGAGATTACCATTTCCTGTGTTTACTTGCAACTGGACTTGTGTTATCAAGTGTATTGCGCTGTGTTGCGCTGTATTGCAGTGTATTGCGCATTTCAGTCACACCCCTATAAATATCTACTTTGGTTGATACTTTTAAATTGGCATTTGCAAAGAAATGTTCTGTATAGTGTGTTATGTGTTGTATTTTTTTTAAATCTGTTCTAAAACTAGGATGTAGATAGCAGAGTACATTTTCAGGAAATTTTCCCCGTAGATGTGCTGAAGAAAGCTGCTGCACTTGGCTTTGGTGCTGTTTATTGCCAAGAAGAGTTTGGTGGAAGTGGACTTAGTCGTCTGGATGCATCAATAATATTTGAGGCTCTCTCACAGGGCTGTGCCAGCACAACAGCTTACCTCAGTATACACAAGTAGGGTACTAACACACACATATATCACAAGGATAGATATTCTATAAATGAAATCTAAAAATTCATTTGTCATTAGTCAAACTTTAAATATTGATTTTATGTTTGTTTGTTTAGGAGAGCTTTATGAGAAATTTGTAAATTTTAGTTTGGTATGGACAGTCTGCAGGTAGATCTACATCCTTACAACAAATCTTGGACATAATAACGTAATTTTGTCCATGAACAAATATAGTCTACTGTATATCTGATTTTAATTTTTGACATTTCATCCACTGTTGAAAATCAGACCCAAAGTAAAATAATAAGGCCAGTATTTGTATGTTGTATGTTGTATGAAACTATTGAAGTGAATTTCCGTTCCAGCATGTGTGCCTGGATGGTAGACACATTTGGAGATGATACACAGAGAGAGCAGTGGCTGCCAAATATGGCCTCCATGGAAACCTTAGCTTCATACTGTCTCACAGAGCCAGGTAACTTTTTTACTTTTTAAATAAATAAATAAGTATTTCAGTATTCTTTATGCAAAAGCTCAGTTATTTCAGTGTCACTAGTACATCACAGGCAGTTTTACTTCTTACTCTTATATAGAGGTCTGTACAATGTAGATGGGTGGAGTTGGGTGGGAAACTGTCTGTCATGAATTTGAATTTAGGAGTACATCTGAGTTGTTATTGGGTTTTGTTGTAAAAATTTACACTTTTTTTAGAAATAGAACCCCCCCCCCCCCCCCTCCTTGAAATTACTGGCTACAGACATTTGACAGGATATAAATACGTATGCAAAGTATGAAAAATGTACCAAAAAGTGTTAAATATTAATATTGTCTGTGTGAATTATGGTATTTACTTGATGTGGTTTCAAACCAAAATTTTCTGTTGAATTCTAGGAAGTGGAAGTGATGCTGCATCTCTTTCTACCACTGCCAAAGTGGATGGAGATCATTTTATTTTGAATGGCACTAAGGTACTGGTGTTTTTTCTACCCCATGATATATGTACAAAAGACAATTTAATCATTGCTTATATAGGGGATTTGTCTTAGTTGTCATGTGTTCCTTGTCATTCTTTTACATGTACTTTGAAGGCAGAAAAGCATAATATTCTATAACGTTACAAATGTGGCACTTCCCTTATGTATTCAGAAAGAGTCTAGGTGATATTGGTGATTTAATTAAAGTTTTGTTTCCCATTGTCAGGTATTTAAAAGTGGTGGAGGAGACACAGATGTGTACATTGTGATGTGTAGGACTGGGGATAAAGGACCTGGTGGAATCTCATGTCTAATGGTGGAGAAAGGCTCTCCAGGACTACATTTTGGTAAAAAGGAGAAAAAGGTGATCTTTAGATGTTAGCTGATTGGTAAATTTTAACATTTGTCTATTTCAGTTAAAAGATTGTTCTCTTTGCCCTGAAGTATCGTCATGAGTGCTTATCCAGGAGCTTTGTATTTTCTGCAGGATGGCTACAAAATATAACGTGAATTGCAGTGTGCAAAAAGTTGATTGTGAGTAGTTTGTCCATTGATTTCTGTATTATTCCTTTGTTTTCTGATGTGTACAGTTAGGCTGGAACTCTCAGCCCACCCGTGCTGTGATATTTGAAGACTGTAAGGTGCCAAGGACAAACCTGCTGGGAGGAGAAGGGAATGGGTTTAAAATAGCAATGAAAGGTCTCAATGGTGGGAGGATAAATATAGGTATTATTTTCAACATCTCCCAAATCCATATGGAATGATTTTTTTATAAATTCTCTTTTTCTGTAGATATTTTAGAAAGTAAATTTCTTGTACAATGTTAATATAAAGAATTCATTAACAAGAATGATTAAACTGATCGACAGAAATTAACTGTTAAACCAGCTTTCTAAAATCAAAACATATCTTAATGATAAATTTGTTTTTGGGGCATTTTAACTTAAGTATGTTCGATCTATTCATATATGTGCCATTTCCCATAGTTATATTTTTTAAATGTCACAGTTTCTGTAAAAACACTTGTTTCCATGGATTCATGCTTACCAGTGTATGAAATGGCCGCCTGCCCGCCAGCCCGAGGCTGGTAACTTTCAGGCCGGGCGGGTAAGAGTTGCAGATTACCCGCCCGACGGGCTGGCTATTTTTACAGCCTATTTTCACCTTTTATTTTGTCTATGTTCACAAGCGATTTCAGCAAACTATCAAATAAACTCACTGTTTTCACCCACTTTTATAGAAGCAAAGAACTAACCATAGCTTGCAATCGAACGCTCGTATCGAAATGTAACCAAAAGTCTCCCTCTCAGTGGCCTCGTTTTCGAAGTTCCGTCTGTGTGATATGAAGTTGAAAGACAATTTGAAACGAGGCACATTGTTCTTAACCAGCTTCAGTGCACAGCAGATAACGTTACGTCATTGTTTTGTGTAGAGGAGATACCGCGAGCAGCAATTTGTAGGTCGAGAGTAATAAAAATGTGAAAGTATAAAAAGTTATGATATTGATTAAATAGACTTATAGGTACATGAAGTGCTTATAATCAACAGTAATACAACGGAGGCAAATTAAAGGAGAATTTTACAAAAAAATTGAATCCCAAAATTATGAGTGAACGTACGAGTTTACGCCGTGCGTCAGATGTAGTTCTTTTCCCACGTGCTTTCATCTTGGGCTGTCAAAAATGAAAAAAATTCTATCAAGTCCGATAGAGAAGTCCACAAAAGAAAAACAATTGAGGAAAGAAATAAAATTAACAAAGATTACGACAGAACCAAACTAAAGAGAACAAATTGGGACCAATGGAAAGGTGATTTCGATTTGCAATTAGTCGAGCGGCAACATTTTTTGTAAAACCGTAACTCGAAAGTATCACGCATTGCGACCGAGCGCAAGCATCTCGATCCAATAACTCGCCCATACTCGCCCCATATAATATATTGTAGCCTCTATGTGATATATATAGCTTTTCTCAATAAGCAATGCTTTCGAGATACGGGGCCCTGCAGGACTGTCTATGGGCCATTAGCGTGCAGGACTGTTCCCGATCGCTTTTTAAAGCTTAAAAGCGATATTCAAAGGGACCCTACATGCTAAATTCTTTCTTCTTTATTGTTAGCACAGAGATCGATTTATTTGACAACAATATATATATTTGGTCATACTTGTTGCTATACAGAAAAGCAAAATTATAATCAAATGATATCACGGAATCGGAATAAAAGTTATGAACAAATTATTGAAGAAGAAATGATACAGCTTGCAGGGTGAACATAAACTGAATTGACTACCCCCGCCCTCCCCCGCCCGCTCAAGGGCCCTGAACATTTTTGGTATTTTAGATGGTGAATGGTGCCATTTGGTATGGTTTAGAACTATGATTCAACTAGTGAAAGAGGTGAGTTTTTTTACAGAAATTAAAAGGGGGACGTCAGGAGCCCCCTGACCCCCTCTAAATCCAACACTGACAAGGTATCATTCAGTAGAAAATCCAAACAATTTCTAAATTTCCATGCATAAGGCACGATATTGCCCTTTCATTACTTTCATGCTCTCCCAAGAATGCATTCTAGACCCCCTCAGCATACCTCTCTTAACTCTAGGGGTTATCATAACTAGGGCAGGTAACTACATGGCCGGGCTGGTAACTTCTCAGAGTTACCTGCCCGGCGGTCTGGCTAGTAATTTCCTTGAATTTCATACACTGNCTAGATCGTTCAATGAGTCATTGAGTGCGGGCTTTAAATTTGATTGGCGGGCGGTGGGGGCAATCAAATGTGGTCAGAGGTAACTTGACACGATGAAGATAGGCTATTGTGAAGAGGTTAGTGTCAAGTTATCTCTGAAGCTCAGGGTGGTCAACAGTCATATTTATTTTATTTAATGCTAATTTGAACCCGATTCTGTCCAATTTCAGTACCTTCAGTTTAAAATAGCAGAAATGGCCACCAGCCTGGTCACCTCAAGGTTGTTGGTGCGGCAGGCGGCAGTGGCACTACAGAACAATGCCCCTGAGGCTGTGTCCCTGTGCTCCATGGCTAAGTTACACACAACTGAAGAATGCTTTCAGGTATGGGGTAAAGTCCAAGCTTTTTAAAGTTAAAACTCTCACACTGATTTCAACAAATTCTGACAGTGAATGTAGATGACAGGCAGTGTCAGGGCTGCCAAAACTGAAGAAGTGTGTGAGATATGTTCCCTCGCATGCTCAAAACACTTGCGTATCGGGAAACTGCTGACATAAAGGCAATTAAAAATGCCAGTGTCTCAGAGACTTGTCAGACCCACCACATCTGACTTGCATTTACAAAAACTTTTGAAAAAACATTTGAGGTCATTAAAGCTGATATTGCATGTTGAACAAATACCTTTCATAATATATTCATTAAAAAAGTAAAATTACTAATACATATTGAACTCTGTATCTTCTATTAAAATTTGTGGCAACTATTGTCCATCGTTTTGGCCTTTTAAAGTCAAATGTAAAACAATGACAGAGGCATTTCAATAATTTTAAAATGTTGTTTCAAAATTCTAACAGTTCGTGTAAGTGAAATATTTTATTTTAAGATGTAAAATGTTGGGTAGATTCAGAAAAACTCAAACACTATGCCAAACTCACCATCCAGCATGTTTAAACATATTTTGTGTATGAAAGTGTTCTCACTTTTTGATATATTACTGAACTCTTTTGTTGGAATTTGACGACATATTAATCTTTGTTTCCTCCCAAAGGTGTGCGACCAAGCATTACAGCTATTTGGAGGATATGGTTATCTCAAAGACTACTCAGTGCAACAGTACATGAGGGATATAAGGGTGCACAGGATACTAGAAGGTAAGAATACAACACAGGTTCTGTTTTGATTTTTTCCTCACTCTACTAGACTCATTGATTATAGTTTTTTAATGTCTTGCATGTGTTAGAAAACAAATGTAACATTTGGCAAAAATTCTGAATATAGGCCTGCTAAGAACTGATCTAACTTGGAAGCCCAATGTGGTCCAACTTACTATAAACTGACATCCGATTCCGAATGCCAATTGACATCAGTTGGACCATTTCCAGTTGAAGCAATTTTATCATGACTGTGCCTCTTAATAGTAACATTTTTTCACAGTACATTAAAAAATTATATGGTAATGGTCCTGTGTAATCCAACCTGCATGATGTTTCCATTTCAGGTACAAATGAAGTGATGAAGATGTTGGTTTCAAGAGATGTGCTCAAGGATTAAAAATAAGATTTCATGGGCAGATAGGGAGTGGCTTGAGTATTCCAGCAGACTTTCATAATTTTTCAAGTTTACATTGATGGGTTTCTGATTTTTTCTGTTGGAAGACGGTCAAATATGGCGGATGGATCAACAAAGATAATTTGGAAGAATGTCAGAAAATATCTTTGGATCTGTTTTTTTATGTCAAAATGAACATAAAGTATTGCCTAGGCAGCTATAGTTGTTTTCAGTATTTGAAATGTGCTTAGCATTTCAACCAGTGCTAGTCATTTGCTCAGTAGATATGTTCATGCTTACCTGTGAAATCATGACAAAAAATTCGAGGGTTTCAGAAGCAAACACTTGTACTATGTAAGACTGGTGACAGCTTCACTGTGATTATGATAATAAAATTTGTTTTTAACAATAATCCACACAACCATCACATCAGTGATGATCTCTGAAATGAAACAACACTCAAAAAGCACAGGAGTTCAAGTGTTAGGGGAACCATCATATGGATGGAACTGTAAAAGGCATAATGAACAAAGCCTACAGCATTATATTTATTGATCATGCACCATAATTTTAGGTATAATTTTTATGACAAATTGTGAGAATATTTCATACCTATGCAAAATAAACTATTAATAATGATAAAGCATTTGTCATCAAAATTTACATTACATAGATGAAGGTACTGATTTCTATGAAAATTGTAAAAACGACCATGTCAGACAACTTGGCATTTGTATGAACAAGTACTTTGGAACTCTATGTTTATCACAAAGATAGGAACTGCCCTAATATTAATATGTGACTACAACAAGGCACTGGTTTTACCAGGATTACAAATACATAATTCAGATTGACTTGCTAACCTTGACATACAACGTCTCCACAACGATATGATGGTTAAACATCTGTAACTTAATTCTGTAAGTTATAACATGTTTCACTACAAACAGAATCCTAAAAACTATAAAGACATTACAAGTTATATAAATGTTGACAAACAGCATTATTAAATTTTAAAAATGTTTTGAATGTAACATGACTTTCAATTAATGTTTGACAAAAAACTGAAACTGGTGCCAATAAGGCATTAATTGAATGATGTACAACAGGACTATTTGCAATTTCAAAGAGGGTTCTTTTCTATAAAAAAAAAAAAGTGGACATTCTTACCCAGTTTATTGGCCCAACCTGAGAAATGGAATCAAACCTAAAATGCAATTGGCATTCAAAATGGACCTGTTCTGGGATGGTTCTTTGTACCTTGCCTACAGGCCTGATCTGATGAAATGTCTCCATACTAAGATATATAACAATCATAAATGAAGCAATAAGCCTGGTGTACTTTTTGACTTAAAAATCAAAATAAAGTTCTACTAAAATCAAAATAAAGCTTTGTTAAAAAAATCAACATCAAGATACGTTGAAAAATCAAAATGAAGCTTGAGAGATAACATCTGTGATACAAAACTACTGGAAAAATTACATCACTGTCTAACTGAAAGACAACCAGCATGACTATGATATCTTGCAAAATCAACACCTAAGGCAATGGATTGCTGGAGACTAGCATAAAATGATGATATGGTCCAGTCATTTCTACATCAATAAAAGTAAAACATATTTCAATTAATTCAAAATGCTGTAGAGGAACCTTTTTGTTGATTCATTAATTATAAAGTCTTGTTTCTCATCATGAACTGTCACTATTGTTGTGCTTCAGTTTTGTTTTTTAGACAAATAATTACACATACATATGTATTGCTACACAAAAATCTCTTCACTTCACCTCTGAGTACTGGTACATAATTTCAGTCACATCCCCTGACTCACATATTATAAATCATGCATATAATTAGATATAATTTCACATTTGGTAAAAATATCCTATCCATAAATACACTTTTAAACTGCTGTACTGTACTGTACACCTGAAGTCTGTATGAATGAGCAAATCATAAATCATTTAAAAACAGGTTTTCATAGTACTATTCAATAAAAAAAAATCTAACATACAAATGATATAGAATACAATGTAAAATTGCTGCTTCTTTAGTTTGTATAGTCATGGAAATATTCTTGTAATGTCAATCAAGTGTCATGTGACCACACAAAATGTCTTTATAAAAATTACAATTAGCACATGGATTCTTTCCATGGAAGTGACATGTGTTAGATGTGACAAAATTGTGACAGAAGTGACAAAATTGCATTAGTTGCACCTGGAGGTCAATGAAATCTGTATTTCCTGGCTGGTTTCAGATTTACATAAGTCTTTTTCATTTCTTCAGAGTCATCTCTCTTGACTTCAGAGAATTTCTCTCCTCTTTTGCTCACTACCTGGCTGTCTCTGTACATAACAAGCTTCTTAGGCTCCTAAAAAGTTGTTTAATAAGAAAGATTTCTGTATAGCATTTAAAGAATTCCTATTTTTGCCATCATGAATGGAACGTTATCTTACCAGTTACATTTACTAAGATTATGTAATGGCAAATTGCTGTATATCTTTTTTATTTGTTAGCAATGCTTTACTAGTATTTAATATAGAAATTACCAACATGCAAGGTGCATTCAAAAATACAATATTCCAGAAACACACAAACAAATCCTTTTACTTCCACTAAATTTTTCATAAAGTAAAACACAGTGTCAGCCTACTCACCTGTTTGGGTAATGTTGGTTGATGGGTTCTTTTGTCTTCATCTTCATCCACATACCCATACCTAAATTTGCATAAAACAAAGTGAGCAATTATATTTATGTATAACCTTTCATTCAGCATCTGGTACCCCACAAAACATGTAGCACAGGAACTGTGGTTTAGTAATCAATAAATGGTTTCACAAGCATTATTATGAGAAGCAGATTATTCCGAATTGTAAACAAAGGACTCAAATCATGTTCTTGATACAAAAATGTTTTATAGCCAATGCGAGATTTGGAGCACCTTTTCAAAGTCATTTTCATCATGTTTTAGCTTACCTTGAAACTATTGCATCTTTTATACCATCGGCAGCTACTAATACTGTTGGGTTTCTTTTAGCACTCTTCTTATTTGTCTGATAATAGACAAAATCAAAATTTATTACATATTTCATAATAAGGAATATTTCAAGTAAGATTTAGTGAATTAAGGAAACAAACTTCTTCAATCCACTAATTTTGACAGACAGTTGACCTATGTTATCTTCCATAAACATGGATCATCATCTATCATACTCAGCTTCCAATGTTCATTCAAGAGTCTCATTATTGCAAACCTGGATTGTCCTGCTCACTGGTATTTTAGCTTTGCTCAAAATAATATACAAGGCAATGTTTCACAGCTAAATTTATAACATATAGCAAATTTGCTAAGATAATGAGAAAATTAAATCTTATACTGGATCTTATGGTTAAACAGAGATAACGTTTTGTCCTTATCACAAGGCTTCTACAGGTGAACTGAGTTAGAGTCATCACTGGTGTCAGGTGGTGACAGGCCTCGTGATATGGTCAAAATACCGTGTCAACTTAAGATCCAGTATTAGATTAAATTTTCTCATTATCTCAGTATAATATAACAGGATGAATCAAAACATTCACTTTGATATACAGCACCCTTTCTATAGTGTCAGAGCTCCACTTTCCCATACATTTCTCCCGACTGCGATAAGAGTAGTCAGAGGGTATTTCAAATTACATTCAAAGGGTTTGAAACATTTAACTGAGAATCAAAATAAACCCCTCCCACAACCAATTCCACAATATTACCAATGTCAAGGAAGACAAAAGGTTAAAACTATCAAAAGACTACATTATGTTTTCTACCTTCTTTGTTAGCTGTTCCCCCGTCTCTATTCTATGTAAAACCAGTTGGACAGCCCTATCAAGGTCCCCCTCAGCCACCTTGAGGCAGTGAGTGACCTCTATACTGCAGGAAGACGGGAACATTTCTAGTAGTAATGACACCTGAGCTTGTTCTACGTGATCCTAAAAATATATATAGATTTGCAATTTAAAACGATTTTATATATGCATTTATGTTATTTTCAAATTTAAAAAAACCTGACAGTTCAAGAAAAAAAGGTGTATAAATTTTACAATTCAGTTGATTACATACAGACAAAAAAATGTACGAACTTGAGAGTCCAAACTTGGAGCAGCAGCTCCAACTGAATCTACCGAGTCCTCAGATGTCTCTGATATACTGTGAGCTCGTTTTTGTGATAGGGTTGATGTTGTTGTGGTTTTACTTGTATCTAAATCTGCTGAAACAGACTTGTCCTTTGGCTTTCCAGGTATATGAAAATTGGAGTTTCTGTCTTCATCTTTATTTGTTGATGTTGCTGTAGTGGGCACTGTAAAAAACAAATGTGAAACAATTAGATATGAAGATGACAGTGTGGAAACAGAATGAAAAATATTTAACCAAAATTTTTCCCACTTCACTAATCTTTCAAAAATACATATTTAATTAGACAAAGCATTGTGAACACAATAACCTCATGTCCCACAAGTCCAGTCTCAAAACATATCGCCTACCTTCATTCTGAACTTCAGCAAGTCTTTTTGCTAATGTGAATATCCATTCACAAACCTTGGAACTGAAAAAAAAAGTCAGTTGAAAGTCATGTGACAGTGTGAAAACCTGGGTTTTAATATCCCAATTAGTAGTGTGTGATTCCATAAAGAGATCAATTGTAAACAAAATACTAATATATAATATAGCTTGACTAACATTTGCCAATCAAAGCTGAGATTTGGCAATGTTACTTACAATCTAATCAAGTAATCAAAAATGGTAATCTGAATGATTGATAAGACTACATTTGCATGATCAAGATTTCATGGTAATCAGTAGTAGCCATTTATAAATGTAAATTCTGTGGGATTGAAAAATGCCAAGGAGCGAGACCAAAAAAGTATTTATGCCTATCAAACATAAAGCAAAGACCACCGTGAACTTACCTATCTACATCTTCAAATCCTGGTAAATATGCAGTGATCATTTCACAGAATTCATCAATATCAAATCCTTCTTCATCAATGCCTTCTGTACCCAAGTCCTCTAATACACTGACTATGTAATTAAGAACTATATCATCCACAGCACTGAAATATCAGAGTTATGTATAGATAATACACTTTTAACTGAGCTTCATGTGCCACTACACCCAAGTGTCAATGAGAAGTGTTCAAAGCATATCTTGCAAGAGTGTTGCAGTGTATTACTTGACATGCATGTACATATCATGTGAACGTACGGTATATCACATTTAACTGAAAAACATCCCTAAAACCAAACCAATAAATTATCACCATAAAATGTGTTCATTCATCCATGTTGAAAAATGACAGACATTTTAATTAGTTGACCAAGAAATGTGTTTTTTAAATTTTAAATCAAAGATGTAACTCCTAAACCGTTGTAATGAAAATGAGGGTCCGTGTAACAGAAAGTCCACCTTACATTTAGTTATAATGGTTAGGGTTAGCCAGACCGCAGGGGGTCAATTTCTAGGGTGAGGCTTAGCTGTACAAATTAATGGGAAGCAGACTATCCATGGGGGACTCTCTGTCATGTTACACCAGCACAGTACCTGATTGAAACACCCGTTGCCTCTTGCTGCAAAAACGTAAATAAAGAATCTTTGACGACTTTCTCCTTACTCATCTCGGTTTTTGGCCAAGTGTCCTTATGTTTTACTACATTCAGTTATCTGAAATTAAACATAATTAATTAATGTTAATAAAAATGAAAATAATAAAGCAGATTCAGTGGCACACTGTAACAAAATGCCGCAGCAAGTTTAAATTTAACTGCCTTACTTCAACTAGCCCAAAGATAGTGCCCTTGACTCTTTTCTTCAAAACATTTCACGTACTTAATTAATTTCAAACCATCTGTTCGTTTACCTGCAGTAGCTGAGCAGGTGTACGTATTGGAACAATCCGTTGTCCACACTCAAGAAAAGCACCAAACTGCACATAAGAAACACCTTAATTATAAATATCCCTTGTTATCTTGGTAGCAAAACAATACAAAGTTCACATTTTGCAAAATAATAAAACTAAACACATATTCGCGAGCTTTCTTTTTGCAAAACACCCGCTGCATTGAAACTACCAAAAATAGGTTTAGCTTTAAAGAACGACATACAATCAACAATACATGTAGTGTATTAAGATACAAAATCATCCCATCTTTGGTTTTATTGCTCATATAAGATTATTATGTACTCATCGTGATGATTTATTATAATTAATTTTAAATACGTAAAGATACTTAAGATACATGCTTGCCTTTGTTGATGTCGTTCACCTCTAACGTACTCATTGGTGGCAACGTGTACTCAAGATGCCGCACGCTACAGCCGAGCCCCAAGTACAGTTTTCTTATGCAGATTTTGTAAAGCTTCACAGGGTACAGCTGGAAAGTGCAGCTGTTCCAGAGAGATATTGGCACACACTTCATGTAAAATTAAAAGATGAGGTATATATATATGCAATTGATTTATCATTATGTTACATCAGCAAGAACAGTTCTTAAAGTTAAACGGTTAGTAACACACACAGTCAACTGTATCGCAACAAATTTGTGAAGTAGTACCTTCCTGTTGGTAAAGAACATCACTGTTAAGTCCCAATACTTTAGACAGTAAATAGATTATATATATTATAAGCTTGTATAAATTTGTAATAGTTGTACATGTAAGTTTTAACTTCAAAACTTACTAGCTGTTCATTATTTCAATATTGTCCATGTACAGTACGATGATACAGTGCACTTATGTTTACACTTCAGGTGTTTGATGCTGGAAGTGTATTTGGTCTTATGAGAGTGGAACATGTTGATGAGGATGGTGAAGAAACAGGAAAGTATTCATGGAAAGCAGCAGTGACTGATGATGAGGGTGTTGATTATTTGGATGAAAAACAGTAAGGGTTTTTCAATAATGTTTTGATTGAACTTGCAATCAGAAAGGCTTCCTTTTACTTGTGTAATTTACTTACTGCTTTATTAAGGAAGTGTTTAAGATGTAAATTAAAATATCTAATTTATGTTGCATATATTGTAAAAGTTTCCAAAATTAAGAAGTTCACTTGACCATTAGTTGTTATTGTGGCAAAAGCAAAGTGAACAGGTGCAGAAAAATATGTTTTCAAAACTCTGGCTAATATAATTTTAGCATTTACCTGATAGACCATGCCTGGTCATACAGTGCAGATAAAGCTAGGGCACAGCTGCGTGTTGTACCTGGCTTGGCAGAAAGAATGGCTGGTATCATGGACTTGAAAACTGAGGGCAAAACCAAGGAAGAAATAGTGGAAGAAATTTTTAATGAAATGTGGAAGTACAATCAAACCTACAGTTTTGCAAATGCACCTAAGGTGGGTAGTTGTGCAGTTTTATATGACTATAATAGTTCATTTAAACACTAGGACTTGTGCACCTTATTTCATTATTATACAGAGAAAGCTAAGCAAATCCAGAGCCATTCCACAGAAATTGTCTGTTTGTGAAAACTTCGAACAGTGTAAGGTTTTCATTTGAAATATCAGCTTGTAATGAATGGTTGATTTAAACCGCATGTATATGTCTTTATTTTAAGTGGCATTATTTACAGAGCATTGTGAACATTTGAATGTCAAATAGATTGTTCACACTCCATTTTACCACATATCTTATTACCATTTTAGTGGTTTATGTGCTTATGTACCTTCAGACTTATCAAAGTGAATACAAACATTTATGCACATAAACATGAGATATCATATTCTTCAAATGATGAGCTTCAAAAGGCTAGCAAACAGTTCAGAAATAATAATAAAAATAATAACACATTTCAATCTTTTTCAGGGCAGCGAAGAATCCTTTGCAGTTTGGTACATTATGGACGAGTTTGGATCCAGAATACAGCACTCATATGAACCTAGCTGTAGATTGGTGCCTTTTTTCTATGTGCCCATGCAGTTAACATTCTCCATATTATTTCCAGTCAAAAATTTAGAGGAAGGAGGTACTGTCATAGTTCTTTATTTATGCTTTTTCAACAGACATTGATGAGAAACTTACTTAGGAATTTTGGCAAAGCAAACTATTTAGGGAATGAGAATTGTTTTCGCTTAGGGTGAAAATGAGAATTGAATTAACCTACATAGACATGTCATAGTTAAGCGTTTTATACACCAATGTCATACTGAGGAGATTAAAACAGTACTTCCATGATATTTTACAGAAGAGATTACTAGAGACTATGCAGAAAATACAGACGACCCACTGGTGAAGAAAGCCAAGTTGTTACCTTGGGTGCCAGCAGACATGACATATATTGGTCACCAGCAGGAAGAGCCAGGAGAGGAGTACTTTGAAGTAAAGCTGATTTAGCCAGCTTTATCCATATTTCCTTTTTCATCTTGTTCTGTTATAGATGTTAAGATGTTACAATTGTAGATAAATGTTAACTTGAATTGATAAAGCTACGTTGGTTAATAACGTTTGATTACCCATGAAGAATTATTGTTTGGATGTCAAGCTTTAGAGTGTTTTAATATTGTACAGAGCCAAGAAAGCAGGCAGTCTAGTAAGAAGGTGAGTATAAACTTCTTGTCTATTTGAAGTCAATCATTAATGTACCTTTTACTTAGTACATGATGTTGCTTGTAATTAGTTGAACTTTTCAATTTTAGAAATACAGGAGAGAAGAACCATTGCCAAATCTAGACAAGACCTTTCCACCATTACCTAGAGACAGAAGAATCAAAGTGTTTACAGATGAGCAATATCTTCAGCAATATTTAACTAGTGACAGATTTAAACTAGTTAACAATGCAAAGGATGCAGACATCTTGTGGCTTATGGAACATTTTTTTGATCACAAGTGAGTACATACTAATGTGCTATAGGAAATTTACAGCAAGCCCCTTTTCCTTTCAGGCTATAACATGGTAAACTTTTTAAAATTTCTTCTCTATAAAGGCAACCATAATAGAATCCAGAATTCTTGTTTGGCAATAAATTTGGTATTTGTTCATTTGAACACGAATGTCAGCTTCATTGTAAATCTGTGTGTTCAGAAGATTTTTCAGGTATTTGACTTTATTTCTTTTAGAGAGTTTAGTGAAGAAATGCCAGAGAAGTTTATAAACCAGTTTCCTCATGAGGCAGTATTGACTGTCAAAGATCTGATGCCTATTGTTGCTAGGAGAGTTTCTTCAACAACTGAACAGCAAGATGAATTGGAGAGTCAGCCATATTGGTTATCACAGACCTATAACCTGAATACTGAACTTCCCCAGTTTGCATCACTTTTCCAGAAACGGGAGTCTAAGTATGTATTATTTTTTAAAAATGTCCATTATTGATAAACATACATAAAAGTGTTGAAAGCACGTTAGAAAAAGTAATGTAAACTAAAATGCATTCTATATCATCCTGAATGACACTCCTTTATATACAGATAAGATATTTCTCATTAAAAAGAAGAAATTTGAATCAGACCCCACACACTATTGCAACTATGTGTAATTGTATTGTTTTTTATCTTAAAAGTGTCAGCATGAGTTGAAAACAACACATTTGTATCTAAATTATACAATATGCATTGTCTTGTGCACATTGTTCTCGTTTTGAGTTCACGTTACATTTTGTATTGTTCCATCAAAAACTACAATTGCATTTTATTTTATGGATATTTATTTTAGAATAAAACAGATATGAGTTATATAATTTTTTAATTTTTCTTTTAGGGGACTTGACAACCACTGGATCTGTAAACCTTATAATCTTAGTAGAGGCCTTGATATTCACATCACCAGCAACCTGAACTACATTATAAAATTGTCAGATTCTGGGCCAAAGGTATCATTGTTATTTCATGGATTGACAGGCAATAGTTATTTACACAAATTTACTAGAAAAAAACCAAAAAATGGTTGGCGTCAAATACTTAACTTGTTCTTAAGTTGCTTTTTTGCAAAGAGTTCAAGGCAGTGTGCTTCTCAAATATTTTCCAGTTAGTGCTATTATGTGCAAGTGTATTTTTTAAACCAATCATTATTTTTCTTATGGATCCGAGATTATCTTTTGTCCAGGTGGCTTGTAAATACCTTGATGACACAGTCCTCTTTCACCGCCCAGAAATTGGAGGGGTGAAGTTTGATCTGAGATGGTTTGTGATGCTGTGTGGTGTTCAGCCATTAAAACTTTGTGTCTGCAAAACATTTTATCCAAGGTTTCCATGCAAGTAAGCATGACCACAACTTTGGTGTTAAGCATATTTTGAATTCAGTTGTCCCAAATTTTTGATGTCTTTTTGATTGGAATTAGAATTGATTTTAAAGAAAAAGTGCATATACTTGTCTATTTGATTAAAAAGTGATTGATTTTTAAAGTTATTTCATTTCTTACTCATTTGTATATGTAGAACAGTTTTTGGGACTAAAGTAGCACTCTGTAGAATTTGATGTGTTCAATGTCATCAATGTTGATACAGTTGCTTAAATTTGTTTCTGATTTTGTTGCTTGTTATTTATGTCTGTAATTTTTTTCTTTTTTTAATTATTATTTTTAAAAAATACTTTCATACCCATATGATTTTGTTTCAATTGCTTTGTTTCGTGTTTCAGGCCATTTTCTTTAGATGACTTGGATGACTTTGAGAAACATTTTACTTCAATGACATATGTGTCTCCTCAGAATGTAGTAGAGGTGACATCTTAATTTTCTTTGAATGTAACATTTTAGATAATGTTTTTGAAACTATGTACTAGAGAGAGTTTATATATTAAGGCATTGTTTTGTTCCTTACTTTGCAATCATTAATATAAACATTTTGTTATAGTGAACATGCTTATAATATATGATGATGGATTTCTATTGAGGCTCTTTTAGTCAAGGATCTACAAAAGTCTGCATATTAAAGTATCAGTATTGTATCAATTGAGCTGTAAATTAAATATTTGAAATTCCATTTGACACATCTGTCTATTTGAATTGTAGGTTTATCGCAGTGATTTCATTTCACGTCTGGAAGAGCAGTATCCAGGACACCACTGGGAAGATGTGGAGGTAGGATTAAATTACCTACAGCTTCCATTTTTATTATCATTTTTACAAGTCTGCAAATCTTACCCGGGTGGGGTGGGGTGGGGTGGGGTGGGGGTGAGTGGTTAATCCCTTCTGTATGCTTTTGGAAAAATTATTATAATGATGATCTTTACCCCAAGGGGTGTGCTGGGAAAGGTCAGCATTTTAAGCTTTTCACCTTGTACTCTATCAGACTATGAAGGGGAGGTGTCTGGAGAAAAGCCTACTCTTTGTAGACTAGCGAAATTTATGGTGATGATGACCCTTAAGTGAAACAAGGCATTGCCAGGAAGTATTTACAAAATATAAACAGCTGTGGCCATTAGGTTATATTGAAAGAGAGGTATGATGAATTTAATGCTCATTTCTCATTTTGTCAAAAAGTTAAATTTTTATCTTTTGTCTATGACATGTTGATGTATGAACCCAAATTTCATGATATATGTATGTGTGGCCCACTTGAAAATGGATTATATCTTTACCTTACATGGTTTTAATGTAGAAGAAAATCCTGAAGGCACTCCAAGAACTGTTCACTGCTGCGTACAGTGCCCCTCCCCCAAGAGGCATTGCCCCTTCCCCACAATCCAGGGCAATGTATGGGATAGATATCATGCTGAAATGGAGGACTGACCAAAATGGTATTTATATATTTATGTATTTTTTTTTCAAAATGTTTTAAAAGTACATAGAAATGAATAGGAAGGTACACTTTCACTCCTCCTTTCCTGATATTATTGTAGATTCTGATGTAGACGTGAAGTATTGAATGAGGTTTTATCATATGTAATACTGTTTAATGTTGAAATAAAGAGCAGTGTCATTCACTTTTTTATTACTCTCAAATCAGAAACATGTACAGAGTTGTCAGCAATGCAAATAACTTATTCAGAACTTACTTTGAAAATTTTGAATCAATATTGAAAAAAGTGTGCTTACTCGAATACAAAGATTCCCTTGTACTGTGAGTTACGCTAGGTAGCCTTAATTTGTTGGGAATATTTTCTAAACTTTACATCTGTTTTTATCCAGGTGAACGTTACATGCAGCCTATAATCCTGGAGGTGAACTTCACTCCAGACTGTTCACGTGTCTGCAAGCACTACCCAGACTTTTACAACGACATGTTTGCAGTTGCATTTCTGGATGATGATGTGATTGGAAAACCACTGGTAGTTTTAACTTCATGACTGTTTGGAAGATGTTGACAGAAATACGAGATGGGGCATGGTTAATATACTAATAATTTATGGTAACGGGACTAAAACTCTATAAAATATTTTCAGTTCACGAAATGTGCAATAGTGTTTAAAATGTTAAAATTTATTTTACACGAGAAAATGTACATGAAAAAATAGTGAAACAGTATTTTTAAATTCAGGGCACTTTTTATAAGGTTTTAAATTGGTGTGCATTAAATGTCTAATCATGTTGTTAATGTTAATAAAAACATTTAGAACCATTTGATAGTTTTATATATTTTCTATTGATTCTTCAAAATATTATCACTGATATATTTAATCCAGTCACAAAAAATGAAAGTCACGAAAGGTGGTAAAAAGAATTCAGTAGATACGAATACAAATTTAACTGGGACGGGGTGCAACTGTTTCGTACAGGTGTCTTTCTCATCAGAGAGATTGAAATGAGACAAAGTAGATCTGATATTTTGTCCCTCTTTTGCCCAGAGAACCTCACTGTGAGACCTTCATGCTCTTCATCAAAATGTTTTGAACCTTAAATTGTAAAATACAGGCTTTACAAGGGGCCTAATCATATGACCTTATTCGTATGGTGCAGGCGACACATACAGGCAATTTGTGAAGAATAAAACAACCTGGTCTACAAAAATTAGCAAATTACCGCAGAAAGAAAGAAAGAAACATGGACTTAAATGAAGAAAAGGAATTTGCTTAGTCTTAGCCGCCCTGCTCTGATTATGTCAAATTTCTTCAGGCGTTCAATAGTTTTAGTTATAAAGTACTGTGAACTGGATGTCTACTTCATTGCCTTGGTCATTTATTACAACGTTGGGAGAGCATTTACTTCATTAGGCAAGCGAAACGAGCGAGTGTTGGATGAAAGTTGAACATTTAGCTAGAGGAAAATGAGCGGGATGTGAGTTTGGAATTGAACCGCGGTGCCAAGGGAGAGCCTGCGCTGCACGGTAGATTGGGAAGTGCTGTGCGTGCTCCATAAATCGCTACGATGGCATGTCTGTAACGAGGTCGATAGAATGGAAGATTTATCGCGAAAATCTGACACCAAGGCAAACCGTTTGAAAAGATTTAACAGTTTTTCTCCTCTTTGGCTTTGGCAACGTGACTATTCGGCATTCGATGAAGAAAACTTGTATCTCGTGCACTATTAATCTGTGACGCTTGTGCAAAGCTTTGAAATAACGACACAAGATATGAGATGAGTCGGAGATTTGTATCCAGGTCCTCGTTTCTTCATTTTATTTTTTGATTCTGTTTGTACACAAGCGCAAATCCTATTCTTAAAACAATGATCATATTGATTATAACTATGAGCTTCTTATGCCCATTATTGCAGGCCATGAGTATTTTTTTCTGTTTTATTAAATCAATACATCAAAAACTTTGAATCACCAGGCAAGATTTGTTCAGACCAATACTTTAAGTTATAAAGAATTAAAAAAAAGAAAATTATTTTTCGCATCGCGAGTTGGAATAAAAAAGTCATCTATCTTTGAGAGGGGACGAAGAAGATCAATGAAGCGCCTTGAAGAACAATATATATATATGAGATGTGCCACACCTTTTATTATTCTATGAAACTGGCGCTCAATATAATTCTAAATACGTATATATTTTTGCATATTTTCATTTAATGTATCTAATCATTTTCCTCCAAGATGTCTTCTATTTCAAATTGATCCTCTTTGGTCGGTTCATTTGATTAATTTGGTTGTAAAAACTGGGTCGGATCATGTTAATACTGATGATTCGCCAAAGCAAAGTGGAAACTACCAAACTGCTGAGACCCACCGGTAGGCATTTTTGTGCCTACACTTTTATAGGAATAATAATATCATTATCTCAACCTGTGAACTGAGCATAACGAATAGAAGAAATATGCGCGATGTGTTCAAATCAAAGGTCAAGCTTTTGCTATTTCTCCTGTAGCGCAGTGAATAACCCTACCTTTACTATTAGTATTAGCAGTAGATTGAAACCAAACCCAAAAAGTGCAGTCTGTCGTAGGAAATTAGATTAAAGGGAAGTCCATCAGTTTGTTCTTCGTATTCTCAAAGATGGTGCATCGACCGCATCTGCATGTTTTTAAATATCAAGCGAAACGATGTAGATGTATGCTACCCTTGCTCGCTGTCACTTCTAGTCTGGCTTATATATGGGTGATCTACTGAGAGAGTTCTCATTCATCCAGGTAATTCGATGGACTGGCTAGCTGCTTCCAGTGGGAACTCCGGGGAAGCGTCTCCCAGAAGTTCAACACTTAAGAGAAAGAAATCCGCAGTTCAAGACGCCCGGCTATTAGTTTTAGGCCCATCTGCGGTAGGCAAAAGTGGTAAGAATGTGATGCGTCTCTCTCTCTCTCTCTCTCTCTCTCTCTCTCTCTCTGACCTTTGGGGCTACATTTTTGAAAACACTGGATAAATCTTTATTTCACATCTCTATATCGATAATTTCTTATTTCAAAGCTGTTGGAATGAAGCCTTTTTTGCAAGTAATGTCTATTTCGTTGCGTTATACTTAAACACACAATGAGCAAGTCATGAGATATTCTAATTGGAATTCTAGTTAAAATTCATATCTCTAGGATTTCTACTTTGGTAGTCAGTTTGCCAAAGCACAAATTGACAAAATGCGGCAATTTCAGTGGGCAGTCTTATTTAAATTGTTCAAGATTGAATCTAAAAAAAAGATTATACATGTATATGCTGAATATGTTCTTGCACAAATCTGAAATTCATATATTTGATGTCGTACTCAAATCATAAGTAGTCGATATCAATGTGGTAAAACAAGATACGGAACTTTTGAAGTCACTAACATGTTTCAAATTTTCTGTTTAACTGGCTATGATAATTTAGGAGTGGGGTAACAGGACATCAAAAACGTGCCTTTTTACCGTGTTAATTACACGCATCTGTTTAAAATTTTCACTTAAGTCACGCTCTGTTACAGTATGCTTCAGTTAAGCTCAAATAAACGTGTTTACTCAAATATACACCTTGCGTGCGGTGAATTGGCCTGGACTGATTTTCCTGTTTAGACACTTTGGATATAAACTAAAGACTTCAAAGAGTTCTGCAATGTGGAACTAATGATGTGAAGCAACATAATCACATGGTTCCTTTCTCTGGTGTTCATTACTTTTACATCATTGAAATAACAACAAATCAAAGAAATTCTACATGAAGATTATACAGTTTTATTGTAACNTGAAGAAAAGGAATTTGCTTAGTCTTAGCCTCCCTGCTCTGATTATGTCAAATTTCTTCAGGCGTTCAATAGTTTTAGTTATAAAGTACTGGGAACTGGATGTCTACTTCATTGCCTTGGTCATTTATTACAACGTTGGGAGAGCATTTACTTCATTAGGCAAGCGAAACGAGCGAGTGTTGGATGAAAGTTGGAACATTTAGCTAGAGGAAAATGAGCGGGATGTGAGTTTGGAATTGAACCGCGGTGCCAAGGGAAAGCCTGCGCTGCACGGTAGATTGGAAAGTGCTGTGCGTGCTCCATAAATCGCTACGATGGCATGTCTGTAACGAGGTCGATAGAATGAAAGATTTATCGCGAAAATCTGACACCAAGGCAAACCGTTTGAAAAGATTTAACAGTTTTTCTCCTCTTTGGCTTTGGCAACATGACTATTCAGCATTCGATGAAGAAAACTTGTATCTCGTGCACTATTAATCTGTGACGCTTGTGCAAAGCTTTGAAATAACGGCACAAGATATGAGATGAGTCGGAGATTCGTATCCTGGTCCTCGTTTCTTCATTTTATTTTTTGATTCTGTTTGTACACAAACGCAACTATGAGCTTCTTATGCCCATTATTGCAGGCCATTAGTATTTTTTTCTGTTTTATTAAATCAATACATCAAAAACTTTGAATCACCAGGCAAGATTTGTTCAAATCAATACCTTAAGTTATAACGAATAAAAAAAAAATTATTTTTGGCATCGGAATAAAAAGGTCATCTATCTTTGAGAGGAGACGAAGAAGATCAATGAAGCGCCTTGAAGAACAATATATATATATATATGAGATGTGCCACACCTTTTATTATTCTATGAAACTGGCGCTCAATATAATTCTAAATACGTATATATTTTTGCATATTTTCATTTAATATATCTAATCATTTTCCTTCAAGACGTCTTCTATTTCAAATTGATCCTCTTTGGCCGGTACATTTGATTAATTTGTTTGTAAAAACTGGGTCGGATCATTTTAATACTGATAATTCGCCAAAGCAAAGTGGAAACTACCAAACTGCTGAGACCCACCGGTAGGCATTTTTGCGCCTACACATTTATAGGAATAATAATATCATTATCTCAACCTGTGAACTGAGCATAACGAATAGAAGAAATATGCGCGATGTGTTCAAATCAAAGGTCAAGCTTTTGCTATTTCTCCTGTAGCGCAGTGAATAACCCTACCTTTACTATTAGTATTAGCAGTAGATTGAAACCAAACCCAAAAAGTGCAGTCTTTCGTAGGAAATTAGATTAAAGGGAAGTTCATCAGTTTGTTCTTCGTATTCTCAAAGATGGTGCATCGACCGCATCTGCATGTTTTTAAATATCAAGCGAAACGATGTAGATGTATGCTACCCTTGCTCGCTGTCACTTCTAGTCTGGCTTATATATGGGTGATCTACTGAAAGAGTTCTCATTCATCCAGGTAATTCGATGGACTGGCTAGCTGCTTCCAGTGGGAACTCCGGGGAAGCGTCTCCCAGAAGTTCAACACTTAAGAGAAAGAAATCCGCAGTTCAAGACGCCCGGCTATTAGTTTTAGGCCCATCTGCGGTAGGCAAAAGTGGTAAGAATGTGATGCGTCTCTCTCTCTCTCTCTCTCTCTCTCTCTGACCTTTGGGGCTACATTTTTGAAAACACTGGATAAATCTTTATTTCACATCTCTATATCGATAATTTCTTATTTCAAAGCTGTTGGAATGAAGCCTTTTTTTGCAAGTAATGTCTATTTCGTTGCGTTATACTTAAACACACAATGAGCAAGTCATGAGATATTCTAATTGGAATTCTAGTTAAAATTCATATCTCTAGGATTCCTACTTTGGTAGTCAGTTTGCCAAAGCACAAATTGACAAAATGCGGCAATTTCAGTGGGCAGTCTTATTTAAATTGTTCAAGATTGAATCTAAAAAAAAAATTATACATGTATATGCTGAATATGTTCTTGCACAAATCTGAAATTCATATATTTGATGTCGTACTCAAATCATAAGTAGTCGATATCAATGTGGTAAAACAAGATACGGAACTTTTGAAGTCACTAACATGTTTCAAATTTTCTGTTTAACTGGCTGTGATAATTTAGGAGTGGGGTAACAGGACATCAAAAACGTGCCTTTTTACCGTGTTAATTACACGCATCTGTTTAAAATTTTCACTTAAGTCACGCTCTGTTACAGTATGCTTCAGTTAAGCTCAAATAAACGTGTTTACTCAAATATACACCTTGCGTGCGGTGAATTGGCCTGGACTGATTTTCCTGTTTAGACACTTTGGATATAAACTAAAGACTTCAAAGAGTTCTGCAATGTGGAACTAATGATGTGAAGCAACATAATCACATGGTTCCTTTCTCTGGTGTTCATTACTTTTACATCATTGAAATAACAACAAATCAAAGAAATTCTACATGAAGATTATACAGTTTTATTGTAACCCCCGCCCCCCCCTCTCTCTCTCTCTGTTATCCAGTCCTGCTGAGAAAGTTCATATGATGTGTACAGGTAGCGCGTGATGGAAAGTAACATTTGTCAGAATTAAAATGAACAGAAAAGAGCTACGTTTCCAATGTGGGGGCCAGCATACCTACAAGATCATCGAAATATCTGTTCGAGATTTTCATACTTCGTGAGTTTCGGGGATCGATCCGTTAAGTGTTTTGCAAAGTGTCTGTGGAAATATGATCAATCACACAGTCAGACGCGCACGCACTTCTGTCCCCTTCGCGCGCTCATACGTGCATACACACAGAAAGGAATGACGCTAATGAGAAGAATAAATTATAGGGTAATACGATGAGATATTCTTTCCCATTTTGACACCCTATGATAATTGGAACTGAAACATATTAAAGAAGTCCAGTACATAGGAGTAAGCAATAAAGTTGAGCTCGACTTAAATGTGCAGTCTAAATGCAATGTGTCATCCATGATATCGAGAAGAGAGCCCCCCCCCCCTCAAATATATCTTTATCTTTACAATAAAAAATAGGAGTACAAGGAGTTGTTAGCCACCCAAAAAGAAACAAACCTCTTTTTTGGCTTAATCTAGTCCGGCTACCGTGTTTTTAAAGTTTGCCCGACCTTTTGAGTTCAACTGAACATAATCTAATTGTAGGCCATTCAAACATTGGTCTTGTTAGTGAAATTAATTTCTCGACAAAGGCTCCCAGCAATCATACCGCCATATGTCAATTCAGATCCATTCTATACTATTGTAGTTAGAATCGGTAAATGACAGGTTCTGGTGATGGCGTAAAATGAAAATGGTGTACCCGTGATAAATGTGCCAACAGATGCGAAGCTTTTCAGAAACTTCCCAGGTGTATCTTGTATGGAGCCCAAAATAAATGTTATTATGACAGATGCTTTGCCTTGCGATGAAAGTTTGTTGAAAAATATAGACGGATGTACGCAAACTTGTTAAGTATATTACTGATATTTTCATACTCGTTTCCGGAGTGAAAATGGAGCCAATCGATTTGTAATGACTCTCTTTCATGCAAGTTGTCTCTTTCATGCAAGTACACACCGCTACTCACCGCAGAATTTTAATAGGCACACACTCTTTCTTTCTTATCTACCTTTCCTTTTCTTTCTTTATCCCCCTCTTATCAATCCATCTATCCTTCTCTATCAAAGTTGCACGAAACGAACTTGAGTTAATGAATACATGCGCATATGCTGTGTACCACTTTTTACCTTCTTGTATATCGGATGTATCCTTACTGTGAACGCTCTGGTTCCAATCACAGTTAATATTGATAAGCACTAAAATGCCCAAAACACACTTAGGAAGATGTCTGTTCATATAATGTAGAAATTGGCATAATGAAGAAACCACATTTTGTTCAAGCAAGGAGATATTATAAGTAACACAACTGGCCAGTTTTTTACCGGTCTGTTTTAAGTATACGGTATGTTGAGTTCACCTATCAGTCATCTCATTTTCTAATAAACTGAATCCCATCCTAAAAACACAGTGTGACGCGGTATAGGGGCTTTGCTCACAAGTGAATTTCTTATATTTTAGGGAGAAGGAGGGCGTATACATTACAATAATTTCATGATAAATAGCATAATGCTTTATATAATACACGTTTCTGATTATCCTGTAGCTGTGATCGTTCCAATGGAGGCAGCTCATACATGAGAACAGCAGGCATCTCGTAGCCTGTCAGCTATAAAAATGAATCTCCTTGTGGGTTTCGCGTGAATACGTTACTACATGTATATTTTTATGTGGATAATTGTTGCAGAATCACGTCGTAATACATATATTATTATAGTTTTTTTTTACTTTTTGTTTCAGCTGTCGTTGTTAGATTCTTAACAAAAAGATTTATTGGGGAGTACGACCACTCCTCAGGTAAGTGAACTTTTGCTATTGGCATATGCCTATTAACAGATAGCAAAGCGGAAGAACAAAACAAACATAAAAGAAAGAGAGAAAATTCAGGAGATTTATATTCAAATATCTGAAGCGTTAAATTTTTGTTCGGATCTAAGAGAGAGATTTTTCATTGGAGAAGATCTACGCTTTACAATATCAACGCACAAAAATTATAAGGGCTTGGATGAGATAAAAGTAAAGAAACATGTTGAATGCGATAGCTGCGATATTTAAGTGCGTTCTTCGTTAGTCCGTAAGGATTGATTTAATGTTGAAAACGATTTCTTTTCCTCAACCTTATACTTTCTACAAAACATAAACAAGAATTTTTATAATGTTTTATATCTTTTTATAAATAATATACCATGATAGTCCTGAGACCATCCTAACTAACGATATGACTTATTTCTGCCTTATTTCTAAAGCCATTATCAAAGGCGTTTTTTAAGGTCCACCTTTGACAATAGTATTTCAGTCGACCATTTTGAATACCTGAGAAATTTCAATTGAAAAAGACATTAAACTTGGTTATCTACATATTAGGAGTGTAACAATCTTGTACACAAATGGCAGATTATACATGTATTTCCCGTTTGAAAAAACATCAGCTTTTTGTGCCTGAAACAGAAAGCTAGGCCATTCGTAGGTGCTGTTCGTCTATTCGTCAATCAGGATTCGTTTTGAAAATTTTCTTTTCAGAAATCAAATATAAGCACACAGTGGTAATTGACCAAGAGAATGTTGTATTTGAAATTCTAGACAGCTGTTCCTCCGAAAAGGTAGGCCCTCCTTTAATTTTTATCAAGTTACTTCTGTCGGTTTGTTTTATACACGCCGTTTGATGTTAAGTAATACTATGATCAGAATTAGACATATTGCGCTATATGCACTTTAAGAGTATCATCACTCAAAGGATTTTTTCAACTTAGATTACTGAAGATACGTTTGAAGAACATATGAAATGGGCGGATGGAATAGTCCTTTTGTATGCCATCACAAGCTTCAAAACATTTGAACTTGTTAAAAAGTTGTCAAAAAGACTTCAAGAACACCGCAGAAGTAACTACATGACGCCTATGATATTACTTGGAAATAAACGGGATATGTCTCATGTAAGACAGGTGACTAAGATTCAAGGTACGTTAAAGGAAAAAACACATTGTTTATATTTTAANAAAAAACACATTTTTTATATTTTAATTATATTATAACCACTGATTAAAGAAAATTAGATGAGTGAATATCGTCAATTTTACAGAATCAAATGTCTTAATCACTGGAGTCTGTCACAAACGATTTTGACCTTTTAATCCACGTCCAGGGTTCATGGCGTTTTAATCAAATTTCTTTAACCTTTCTACCTTCTGATTTCTTCTACAGGTGAACATCTATCACACGAGCTTAACTGCCTGTTTGCCGAGGTGTCCGCCTCGGAGGACGCCACGGAAATTGCCGATGCATTCCTTAATCTTTACCGAGAAATTCAGAACTCTAAAAGGAGATCTAGGACTTTCTTAGATAAGGTGTTTGGCTCACTAGGCACAAAGTCGAAAAATTAAGGATATCTTTATATCATATCTACAATTTCGCTTCATCCCTTGACGCTTCGACTCGCCAGCAAAACATTGAAACAGACGAGATAACTTGTCTATGTAAAACCTCAGGTGGATCGAACAAGGCGCATAATGTGAGGACAAAATTGGCAAAATATACTTACACTATTTTACAAAAAAAAAAAAAATGGGAAAAAGTAATTGTTATTTTCTTCTTTTGGTGGAAGAGTTAAATTACCAAAGAATAGTGACAAGGGTTTAAACAATATTCTGATAAATTGTGTAAAACTGTAGATTGTTTATTTGTAAAATAAGTCGTAGCTGCCTATAAGATTGTGAAAATGTCTTAAAACTGTACAATATCAGACTTGATAATAAACCTACAAATCAATTAATTAATGATTATTAAATATTTGTGGAATGTATGTTTTGTTAGCACAAAGTATATACACAGAGAATATTCATACATATGACGTGCATAAGAAATCAGTACCACTATTTGAAAACGTACATGTTGATAAATATTTACAACACATTTATAACAGAATCCCAATAACATCTCAACAACTACACACACTGGACAATAGAAGTGTCACCCCCTAACTCAGAGTAATAAAAGTAGGCAGATCTTGGGTACTTATAATGCCTGGTCTACTTATAATGTGACTAATGAGTATAAAACCGCTGTACCGTGGAATTGTATTGTTGGTCTTGTACATGTANAGAAAACACATTGTTTATATTTTAATTATATTATAACCACTGATTAAAGAAAATTAGATGAGTGAATATCGTCGATTTTACAGAATCAAATGTCTTAATCACTGGAGTCTGTCACAAACGATTTTGACCTTTTAATCCACGTCCAGGGTTCATGGCGTTTTAATCAAATTTCTTTAACCTTTCTACCTTCTGATTTCTTCTACAGGTGAACATCTATCACACGAGCTTAACTGCCTGTTTGCCGAGGTGTCCGCCTCGGAGGACGCCACGGAAATTGCCGATGCATTCCTTAATCTTTACCGAGAAATTCAGAACTCTAAAAGGAGATCTAGGACTTTCTTAGATAAGGTGTTTGGCTCACTAGGCACAAAGTCGAAAAATTAAGGATATCTTTATATCATATCTACAATTTCGCTTCATCCCTTGACGCTTCGACTCGCCAGCAAAACATTGAAACAGACGAGATAACTTGTCTATGTAAAACCTCAGGTGGATCGAAATAGGCGCATAATGTGAGGACAAAATTGGCAAAATATACTTACACTATTTTACAAAAAAAAAGGGAAAAAGTAATTGTTATTTTCTTCTTTTGGTGGAAGAGTTAAATTACCAAAGAATAGTGACAATGGTTTAAACAATATTCTGATAAATTGTTTAAAACTGTAGATTGTTTATTTGTAAAATAAGTCGTAGCTGCCTATAAGACTGTGAAAATGTCTTAAAACTGTGCAATATCAGACTTTATAATAAACCTACAAATCAATTAATTAATGATTATTAAAGATTTGTGGAATGTATGTTTTGTTAGCACAAAGTATATACACAGAGAATATTCATACATACGACGTGCATAAGAAATCAGTACCACTATTTGAAAACGTACATGTTGATAAATATTTACAACACACATTTATAACAGAATCCCAATAACATCTCAACAACTATATCTCACTTTCTCTCGATTTTAATCCATATTGATATTTTTCTCATTATAATTGTTACTTTGGTGTCTTTACATCTAAAACGATTTCTTAGTTACGCTGGTATAAAGGTTGGCGTCACTGATCCACCTTGGCTCTCCTCCAGCTATATGTATTGTGGTAGTTTTACATGCTTTCACTGAACTGAACTGGATAATACAAGTGTAATTTCCATTTATGTGTGCATATGCTCACGTAGCATATGTACATGTAAATAGTACGTGTAGGTAGACATATACGTGACACACACACGTAATTTTGTATTTTTATTTTGCTTAATTTATATGTATAAATGAGTATTCGTTGTGTTCAGAATCTCTCCCACATTCAGGGAGGCTTAGATTACACTGATAGGAGGCAAATTTTGGATAACCATTCCGATAAGGGGATCTGACGATTCATTTCAGTATTTATTTTGACGTCGCACAAGGAAAATACAAAACAAAAGAATGACCAGTTCATAATTTATTTTCTTTCTCCTCTCTACAACTCCGTCTCCACTACTGTCAAAAACCAGCCACTTTCAATACACAAAATAATGGACCAGCCATGCAACTCGATCTTGCAGGATTTACAAAATTGATAATTACAAAGGTAAATCCTAAATATGAATTAGAGAAGAGTGGGTAAAATTTACTGAAGGTATTAGAAACATTTAATTACTATGTAGAATTACATCACTTAGGCCCTTTAAACACTGTAATAAAATGAAATCATAGGGAGGAGGTACGCTTTGTGCAGTGACTCTGGCAGATGGTGCATGCCAAGGATATACACATCTGATTTTTTTCCGATATATTACATTTTTTTCATTATTAGAGCTGTTGGAATATGGGAAGTGTTTATTGCACTGTGTAAACGACACAACCTAGGTCAATTTTGGGAACACTTGTTATCTATTGCCCCAATGCCACAAATGAACTACAATGGATATACAACATGTGGTTCAAAGCTAGTGTCTAACCTTTTTTGCCAGTCTTTGCAGCTGTTTGATTCTACGTTCACGCATGCCACATGCATTCCACCAGTCAGGCACCTAGACTAAAGCTTGTCAGGAAAACTGAATTCTTTGGAGAAAAATTGATGCTGTTAGTTCTGCAGGTTGGTCCCATGTCATTACCATTTAATGTGACCTCAATTTCATCAACGTTGGTAGAAGAAGAGGCAACTTCTATGCGGATCCATCGCTGCAGAACTGCAGTTGTCTACTTTACATTTCTAACCAGAATATGAAACATAAGAACTCTAGCTAATTGCCATAGAGCAAGACGATTGATAAAACATTTGAGTACAGGCTGGTAAAATAATCAAATATTTACAAGATATTTATATGTACAGATAACATTCATCCCATTCAAATGAAACAGCCAATTTTGTTTCCTTTTGCCAAATCTTAATATTGAAATTAAAAGCAAGATCCATATATTACAAGTCTTAATATTCAAGTACAAAGCTCCATATATTACCCTTTTTGTTTCACAACTGACAGCAGAGTATCTTCACTAGAATATATCTTAACATTACACTGCTTTGCAAATAACTATGTACACAATTGGCTATTACATAGTGCATGTGAAACCAATGAAGTCAACTTTTTAAAGCCTGCAGTCTGGCTTGCATATCTGAAATGTCTTCTTCCTCCTCCTCCTCTTCTTCCACCTCTGGTGTAGGTAATGTGTCACTAACAGCTGCTGGAGCTTTGCCCAACTCACCTAAAAATTATTAGAAGATAATTGTTGTTATCACTACTCAGACCCATAAAACTATTCAAAACTGATGCATGATAAAACAATGTTTTATATAATTTAGTTAAAATATCCACAACTATGAAAGAGTTGATAAATATAATGTAAGGAGAAATACTGGTTTTTCATATGGATTTCTACTTTTGGTAAACATGACTATTCAACTTTAAAAGTATATGTTTCTTACAGAAAAAGAATAAAAAAATGAAAAGAGACGCAAAAGTATTCTACTAAATACATGAATCTATCCAAGTTGTTTGGACATTACCCACCTGATGTGAGTTCAAACAAAACCTTTTCAACTTCTTCTTCTGCTTCTTCCTCCAGATCATCACTTTCTAATGATTCAAATGTATCATCTAACATTTCTTCTAGAATGCCAGCCTAGAATGCCAAAAGGTTAGAACTTGGGACGTTGTATAAATTGAGTCTATGGCTTGCAATCCATTCTTATGTTAATAATAATTTTTTAAAAACTGCACTGCACAAACATTTCAGCACTGCTTACAAATATTTTGTACAAAACTTAGAACTGTTTTGGCTTATCCAAACCAATAATTAGAGCTTTAGAGCTAAAAGATATATGCACAGGTCTCCCTGCTGGCATCCTTTCCAAATGGATTCGATCTATATTATATTCAAGTAAGAATATTAAATTCAAGTAAGAAGTGTTCGTATTTAATCTGATTGTCTACATATTTTTTACATACTTATATCTTACCTTCATCATTTCTTTTGACATGGCCATCATAGTTGCCTGTATTTCAGGTAACTTTACAAGCTGCTGCATACTATTCATCACCTCTGTGCTCTTTTCTAGGGCACCTGTCAGGCGTACAGTGGCTAAAATATAAGAAGGCACAGTAATTAAAACTAACAACTTGCATCAAGATTTTTGTCTTTATTTAATTAAATTGCTTACTGAAACACGTCATTCAAAGTAAAGAAGCTGATCGTCACAGTAAAATACTGATAAAATATATAATCTAAATGTTATAATTTCAAATACCTGACAGCTTAAGTCAACTTATAGTTGGGCAATGTCAATCTAAAATGCATCAAGCCTTCATTTGACAGAAACTTAAAAGATGGTAAATGTTAAGTACATTTTTCATTAACTGCATTAACATTTTATTCTGTTTTATTAACTTTTTTGCACCTTGTGTTGACCTGTTCATGAAATTGCCCATTTACACAATGGCATTATGATCCTTAATACCTTCTTGGTTCTTCATGCTCATCATAACAGAGTTCATCTGGGCCTTAGCTGCATACATTCTGCTTATTGCTTTTCTTGACCTTATGATTTCTTTTGCTAGGATGTTACACACGTCTTTTTGTCCCTTTTTGGCTGCATCCTTTAAGGATCTTTTCACTTTTTCTTCCTCTCTCTGAATACCTAAATTATGAAAATTGAATATAATGTTTATTTCTTTTTCACTGAAACGTCTTTTTGATTAAATGACAAAGGTGAAACCAGTCCAGTGTCAAAATTTTCTTGATACTCCAATGCAAGTAAACAGTCCAGTCTGACTTAACAGTGAACAACAGCATGCATAGTCACTTTACTACTCTAGAAGTTTACATCAACATTAAGTGGAAAGTGGAGATTTATGAGAAACAAAGCGATCTTATTTTTACTCTACCTCTGATCTGTCTATCGATATTGTATCCCTCCTTTCTAAGCTTTGATGACCATTCTTTCACCTAAAATTATTGCAAAAATAAAATGCCTGCGTTTAATTTTCAAATACGTCAAGACTGTATTGAAAAGGCCACAACCAAGAATAAATATAGCATTTATACCGGCAGCACAACGAATCTAACTTACCATATCTTTGGGTGATTTCTCTGGAGTTTTCCCAAACAAACCCATCCTTCTTGTTTCCTTTTTCAGGAACGAGGCTTAGGAAAATAGATTATAGGGGGCGCAAGGAGAACAAGATAACCCACTTCCAATGCATTGGAAAGAAGTCAATAATGGCATAATCAATTTCGTGTCTCTGTCATTCAGAATATTTTTTTACACATTGAAGTTAATTTTTTATATCTTCCAGTGAACTTATTATAAAAACGTTTATTTATTTATTTATTTATTTATTTATTTATTTAGTTAGTTAGTTAGTTAGTTATTGTGTACCCTATAAAACACAAATGCACAGGCACAACAGATGCTGCTCTTTCTTTGACACGTGTACTAAATGTCCTAAACGACAGGGCAGTAATCGAAGCAATTTTACAGTTTAGTGATTTCCCTCTTCTCCGGTGGAAAGGCAGTGACCGAGTTTCTGTCGCAGAGTCACTTACAAATTTATAATAGGCCTATGTAATTTCGAGATCATGGTCTGAAAACACGATTTGATACACCCTTTTATACAATAAATATGCTGAGTCTGAGAGATGGTTAGGTCCCATTGTTGAATAAAAGCGGAGGTCGCATTTGCACAAGCTATCTGTAAAAATCTGCAAAAATTACCAACCTGTAAATTTTAATTGTGCAATATTTTGAAGGGCAGCACTGTGCACTGCGCAGTCAACTGAATCATCTCTTGGCGTAGTCTGTTATGAACTTGGATCCATTCAGGGTTAGAATTAATTAAACTATATTCCCATGTCTCTTAAGTCCATTTCACCCCTTCAAAGATCAAACGTAAAATGGGAATGAAATTGAAACGAAATGAAATAGGCCCCTAGCTACTGCTATTAAATTGACATTTTCTTACAAAACCGGCGGATCGTTCAAACCCCATCAAACACATCCCCCCTCCCTCGTCCTAGCCCTGACTATCAGGACTATGAGCGCATTATAAATTGTCTTTCTCTCATTGTCAAGGAGTTGAGAACCACGCTCTCCACTAGGCACATCCCAACACAATGGACCGTCCATGCTGAGCCGTGTTTACTTTANATCAGCATCCATGGCGTGGGCGAATTGATAGCGGTTGATGGAAACATGAATCACTAGAAATATATCGATGTTTTGGAGTCAGGCTTGCTACCATCTATTACTAACATGTTTGGTGACAGGAATTATCCATTTGTTCACCAGGATGACAATGCTCCTTGTCACAGGCCCAGAGCAGTTGATGATTGGTTTGACCAACAGGACATTCGCAGGGTGATGTGGCCTGCCCAGAGTCCGGATGCAAACATAATAGAAAATGTGTGGAATGATATGTCAAAACTTTTGACAAATGCCCGTCTAACCAGCAGAGAAACTCTGTTATTTTCAGTGTTTCATGCTTGGGCCAGCATAAGCCCTGAACGCATCAGACAATTATATGAATCCTTGCCTCGTAGACTGGCACCTATTATTAGGTCACGTGGCTATGCCACTAAGTACTAATTTTGGACTTGAACTGCATATTTTGGTAGAATGTATATTTTATTCTCATTTTATAATTTTTGTGAAATTTGATGTTAATAAAATGATACCAGGAGCATATCATTCCACAGTCATTTATCTCCCCCATAGTATTGGTTCAGTAGGGGTGACACTTCTATTGTCCAGTGTGTGTATATCTCACTTTCTCTCGATTTCAATGGATAATGACATTTTTCTCATTATAGTTGTTACAATGTTGGTGTCTTTACATCTAAAACGATTTCTTAGTTACGCTGGTATAAAGGTTGGCGTCACTGATCCACCTTGGCTCTCCTCCAGCTATTGTGGTCGTTATACATGCTTTTCACTAAACTGAACTGGATAATACAAGTATAGTTTCTATTTATATGTGCGCATATGTTCACGCAGCATATGTACATATAAATAGTACATGTAGGTAGACATATACGTGACATGTAATTTTGTATTTTTATTTTGCTTAATCTACATGTATGAATGGGCATTCATTGTGTTCAGAATCTCTCCCAAATTCAGGGTGCACATTTTGGATAACCATTCCGTTAAGGGGATCTGACGATTCATTTTAGTATTTATTCTGACGTCACTCAGAGAAAATACAAAACAAAAGATTGACCAGTTCATAATTTATTGTTTTCTTTCTCCTCTCTACAACTCCGTATCCCCTACTGTCAAAAACCAGCCACTTTCAATACACAAAATAATGGACCAGCCATGCAACTCGATCTTGCAGGATTTACAAAATTGATAATTACAAAGGTAAATGCTAAATATGAATTAGAGACGACTGGATAAAATTTACTGGGGGTATTAGAAACAGTTAAAATATGTAGAATTACATTACTTAGGCCCTTTAAACACTGTAATAAAATGAAATCATAGGGAGGAGTTACCACGTGTGCTGCGACTCTGGCAGATGCTGTATGCCAAGGATATACACATCTGATTTTTTCCGATATATTACATTTTTTTCATTATTAGAGCTGTTGCCTTTGGAATATGGGAAGTGTTTATTGCACTTTGTTAACGACACAACCTAGGTCAATTTTGGGAACACTTGTGATCTATTGCCCCAATGCCACAAATGAACTACCAGTTTGATTCTACGTTCACGCATGCCACATGCATTCCACCAGTCAGACACCTAGACTAGTAAAGCTTGTCAGGAAAACTATTGACAGAATTCTTTGGGAAAAATTGATGCTGTTAGTTCTGCAGGTTGGTCCCCTGTCATTCCTGCTTAATGTGACCTCTATTTCATAAATGTTGGCAGAAGAGGCAACTTCTATGCTGATCCATCGCTGCAGAACTGCAGTTGTCTACTTTGCATTTCTAACCAGAATATGAAACATACACTTCTAGCTAACTGCCATAGAGCAAGACAATTGATAAAACATTTGAGTACAGGCTGGTAAAATAATCAAATATTTACAAGATATTTATATGTACAGATAACACACATCCCATTCAAATGAAACATCAAATTTTGTTTTCTTTTGGCAAATCTTAATATTGAAACAAAAAGCAAGATCCATATATTACGAGTCTTATTATTCAAGTACAAAGCTCCATATATTACCCTTTTTTGTTTCACAACTGACAGCAGAGTATCTTCAATAGAATATATCTTAACATTACACTGCTTTGTAACTAATTATGTACACAACTGGCTATCACATAGTGCATGTGAGACCAATGAAGTCAACTTTTTAAAGCCTGCAGTCTGGCTTGCATATCTGAAATGTCTTCTTCCTCCTCCTCCTCTTCTTCCACCTCTGGTGTAGGTAATGTGTCACTAACAGCTGCTGGAGCTTTGCCCAACTCACCTAAAAATTATAAGAAGATAATTGTTGTTATCACTACTCAGACCCATAAAACTATTCAAAACTGATGCATGATAAAACAATGTTTTATATAATTTAGTTAAAATATCCACAACTATGAAAGAGTTGATAAATATAATGTAAGGAGAAATACTGGTTTTTCATATGGATTTCTACTTTTGGTAAACATGACTATTCAACTTTAAAAGTATATGTTTCTTACAGAAAAAGAATAAAAAAATGAAAAGAGACGCAAAAGTATTCTACTAAATACATGAATCTATCCAAGTTGTTTGGACATTACCCACCTGATGTGAGTTCAAACAAAACCTTTTCAACTTCTTCTTCTGCTTCTTCCTCCAGATCATCACTTTCTAATGATTCAAATGTATCATCTAACATTTCTTCTAGAATGCCAGCCTGAATAACCAAAATTACTTACAAATTCATAGTTTGAAAGAATATGGGAAATGCAAAAGGTAAGAACTTGGGACGTTGTATAAATTGAGTCTATGGCTTGCAATCCATTCTTATGTTAATAATAATTTTTTAAAAACTGCACTGCACAAACATTTCAGCACTGCTTACAAATATTTTGTATAAAACTTAGAACTGTTTTGGCTTATCCAAACCAATAATTAGAGCTTTAGAGCTAAAAGATATATGCACAGGTCTCCCTGCTAGCATCCTTTCCAAATGGATTTGATCTATATTATATTCAAGTAAGAATATTAAATTCAAGTAAGAAGTGTTCGTATTTAATCTGATTGTCTACATATTTTTTACATACTTATATCTTACCTTCATCATTTCTTTTGACATGGCCATCATAGTTGCCTGTATTTCAGGTAACTTTACAAGCTGCTGCATACTATTCATCACCTCTGTGCTCTTTTCTAGGGCACCTGTCAGGCGTACAGTGGCTAAAATATAAGAAGGTACAGTAATTAAAAGTAACAACTTGCATCAAGATCTTTGTCTTTATGTACTGAAATTGCTTACTGTAACACATCATTCAAAGTAAAGAAGCTGATCATCACAGTAAAATACTGATAAAATACATAATTTAAATGTTATAATTTCAAATACCTGACAGCTAAAGTCAACTCATAGTTGGGCAATGTCAATCTAAAATGCATTCAGCCTTCATTTGACAGAAACTTAAAAGATGGTAAATGTTAAGTATATTTTTCATTAACTGCATTAACATATTATTCTGTTTTATTAACTTTTTTGCACCTGGTGTTGACCTGTTCATGAAATTGCCCATTTACACAATGGCATTATGGTCCTTAATACCTTCTTGGTTCTTCATGCTCATCATAACAGAGTTCATCTGGGCCTTAGCTGCATACATTCTGCTTATTGCTTTTCTTGACCTTATGATTTCTTTTGCTAGGATGTTACACACGTCTTTTTGTCCCTTTTTGGCTGCATCCTTTAAGGATCTTTTCACTTTTTCTTCCTCTCTCTGAATACCTAAATTATGAAAATTGAATATAATGTTTATTTCTTTTTTCACTGAGACATCTTTTTGATTAAATGACAAAGGTTAAACCAGTCCAGGGTCATGACAAAATATCCTATTGATACTCCACGCAGCCCAGTCTGACTTGACAGTGAACAACAGCATGCATAGTCACTTTACTACTCTAGAAGTTTACATCAACATTAATTGGAAAGTGGAGATGTATGAGAAACAAAGCAATCTTATTTTTACTTTACCTCTGATCTGTCTATCGATATTGTATCCCTCCTTTCTAAGCTTTGATGACCATTCTTTCACCTAAAATTATTGCAAAAATAAAATGCCTGCGTTTAATTTTCAAATACGTCAAGACAGTATTGAAAAGGCCACAACCAAGAATAAATATATCATTTATACCGGCGGCACAATGAATCTAACTTACCATATCTTTGGGTGATTTCTCTGGAGTTTTCCCAAACAAACCCATCCTTCTTGTTTCCTTTTTCAGGAACGAGGCTTAGGAAAATAGATTATAGGTGGCGCAAGGAGAACAAGATAACCCACTTCCAATGCATTGGAAAGAAGTCAATAATGGCCTAATCAATTCTCTGTCATTCAAAATATTTTTTTACACATTGAAGTTAATTTTTTTATATCTTCCAGTAAACTTATAATAAAAACGTTTATTTATTTATTTATTTATTTAGTTAGTTAGTTAGTTAGTTAGTTATTGCACAAATGCACAGGCACAACAGATGCTGCTCTTTCTTTGACACGTGTACTAAATGTCCTAAACGACAGGGCACTAATCGAAGCAATTGTACAGTTTAGTGATTTCCCTCTTCTCCGGTGGAAAGGCAGTGACCGAGTTTCTGTCGCAGAGTCACTTACAAATTTATAATATGCAATTTCGAGATCATGGTCTGAAAACACGATTTGATACACCCTTTTATGTAATAAATATGCTGAGTCTGAGAGATAGTTAGGTCCCATTGTTGAATAAAAGCGGAGGTCGCATTTGCACAAGCTATCTGTAAAAATCTGCAAAAATTACCAATCTGTAAATTTTAATTGTGCAATATTTTGAAGGGCAGCACTGTGCACTGCGCAGTCAACTGAATCATCTCTTGGCGTAGTCTGTTATGAACTTGGAACCATTCAGGGTTAGAATTAATTAAACTATGTTCCCATGTCTCTTAAGTCCATTTCACTCCTTCAAAGATCAAACGCAAAATGGGAATGAAATTGAAACGAAATGAAATACTGCTATTAAATTGACATTTTCTTACAAAACCGGCGGATCGTTCAAACCCCATCAAACACATCCCCCCTCCCTCGTCCTAGCCCTGACTATCAGGACTATGAGCGCATTATAAATTGTCTTTCTCTCATTGTCAAGGAGTTGAGAACCACGCTCTCCACTAAGCACATCCCAACACAATGGACCGTCCGTGCTGAGCCGTGTTTACCTTAGCCATTGCATACCTATTAACCTTAGTTTATTCTAATATTTGTTCATATTTTATCCCACGTACCACATCTACAGAGCTTAGCGTCAAGGATTATCAAATATTTTATCTGGATTTAGCTGTATAAAGTGACATATTGACTTATAGACCGTTTGAACAGAGACTGCGCAAACAGAGGGACAATCCGACGTAAGCTAGTATGCGGCATCATTATCAAAGTTTTGTCAGCAAGTCAGGTCAACGTGCGGTGAAGGAGACTCTGCTTTATGAGGTGGGTTTTAAAACAATATTTAGCAATTATCTTTGAAACCTCTTATCAGTTTTAAAAGAGTGTTAACGTCGTTAGCTTAAGATCTAATTAGGTAGTTCTACTCAATTTGCCATACATGATTTAATCTCATTAATGCCTCATGTCTTATCTATCCGTCAAACGTGGCGATTTTTTTTTTTTACAAAATTGACCATACTTTACTTAATATTGGTAACCTAATTGGGACTCTGTTACAATTTCAAGGGATCCATTTTCAAAGCTGAAACAATCTCGGTAATATATCTGGGTCACAGTATCTGTATCAGACCTGACGTTTTTAGGTGAAATCTATGGATAATGTCTAAGTTCGGCATTGAATGCGGCTGTCTATGACCATTCAATTCTTTTTAAAGAGAATATTTGAAATTTTCAGATTGCTATTTCTAAATATTATTGAGTCAGGAAATCTTAGAAAGGCAAGTAGATCCCGTTCTCTTATTTACTGCCTTTACTGTACTCGTATGTGGCATCTGCAGCTTTTTCACGTAAATTCTGAGAATTCACTTGTGCAGCGAGGTATACATCAAGTTGCTGTTGTGTTTAAGTAGATGGTGTATTATCAAAAGCATAAGCCTGTCTAAAATGTGAAATGTGAAACGCGCAGTAATTGAAACCAAGCGTGCACCCTACTTAAATATGATTAACTGAGGTTGAGATGTTGATGCTAATGCTCAGTTGCTGCTTAAGTTTTCCATATATACTGCAGTTGTCAGACAGATTGAGGTCAAACAAAATACTTTGGATATACAGTGCAAGCCGAGGTCTAGCGCAATGTATGTTCTATAGACGTACTAAACCAGGGATTCAGGTATTTGTTGAACTGGATTTATATGCATTTTATAACTCCAGAGCGTATTTCGCAAATGAGTCATTGTTAAAAGGTTGACTGTTTGATATCAAGAGCCTGATCGCTTTACTAGAATCTCTCTCTCTCTCTCTCTCTCGCTCTCTCTCTCTCTGCTGTATGCTTTATTGAATCAGTGAGCTACTGTATATGTTGCCGATACCACCGAATCACAATACCTTCTAAATGTACGATTGTTGCTTTCTTTTTATGATTCACTCTATGGGTTAGTATTACCAAGGAATTAAGCGTTGTCTTTCCAGCCGTCTTTTCAGCTGTCCGCAGTACAGTCATTGTACAGAGTACGGGTATGTCCAGGCTATCCTAGAAAGCTCTGTCTATTATTCTAGGCAGGTTCTGCAGCACAACTAAGAATTTAAGGATTCGTGTATGAAAGTGCACCCTGTACCTACAGTTAACCCTGACACTTTCCTCTATACATGCACCAGCATAGGGTTGCCGTTACTTTAAAACAAGGGCACTGGAATTCAGGGTGAGGATAAATATCCCACGTAAACCCCCTTTTCCATTACTGATAAGTAAATTTGATATATTACATGTATCTACTATGTGTTTAAACTGCTATATGATATAGACTGTTTATTCAGTTTAATATAGTCTACGACATTACTGTCGCTCAGAATGTGCCTTACCGGTATACCTATGCATGCAGTCAGGTGGTTCAGTCTTGACTGAAACAGCAAAGCAGGAGAATATAATTTGATGAATATACCTAACTCTTCCCTAGGGTGATTTATCCCTATTCTGAAATGCGAGTAAGGTTCTTTCAAAATGATGACTGAGATGGAGTGGCCTAGAATTGCTGCTTTTGGTGCTAACACTGCGGTTGGAGAGGAAAGAAGATTCGCTTTCTATTCCTAAACAGCTAAAAGATTAAACTGAACAGTATAAATACTAGTACTGCTGCCTTGATGCTTTCTGTAGCGGCATGGCAATTTTACGTACATTAGGACAATTCAACCTACTTTGATGGGTCATACCATGAAATATCTTTTAAATGAAGAGCTTCAATTATTTCAGCCCCTGATATAGGCCATCTAATGAAACCCTGTGAGATGTGTAGTCTTAGTGACCTCAAATGCCTTTTATAATTATTGAAATACACAAATAGTTTCTTTACTATTATGGGTAACGTCATAGGCCTGTACTCTATGCATGATAGGCCAACAACAAAAATATCTTAACAAACTGAAAAGATAATACATCATATAAAACACATCGACCATCGAAATCACGTGCATCCAAGTATTTCCTGGTAACATTCATGGTATTTTATCTTTTTTCAGGTGATTAAAGCAGAGCAGCCCGCGTTTCCAGGTTCACATATGTCGATGATTGCGCAGACATGTGACTAAACCATTGGTGTAGACGGTGACGTTCCAGTGCTCGTTCTGAAACGCAGAACGGACCTTTTTTCAATAATTTCGCCTTAGTTTATATGGTAAGGATGCTGAAACATAGTCGTCAACAGATGACACTCCAATCTACAACCGTTTCAAGTCCACCTAAACCCCCGTCGTGGCGGGACTTTACCGTTGCCATGAAAACACGGTCATCAATAGAATCCCAGCCAAAATTACCCAAGGGGAGCAAATCCTTGGAATTTACTGATTTGTCAAAAATCCAAACGCAAGTTTTATACAAGCAAGTCTGCTCAAGTTGCGAGGAGAAAAAAGGAGTGAATAATGTTAACAACAAATTTAAAAGATCGAGAGCCAAATTTCATAGGACACAAAGTGAAAAATGTATCTCCGTGGAAGATATTCCACGAGAATGTTTAGCAATTAATCTGGCCGACACAAAACCACAGGACATAGGACTGCGCCAAAAGAATTATTCGGACGAGAGGTTGTATCTTGTTGATAATACCCTCCGTTGTAGGAAATGGTTGGCAGGAATAGAACCAATTGACCCTACACCGGATGTATTCTTTAGCCGGGGACCGAACGAAGCTGTTGAAATGCCAGGAGAAACATGGCAGGACATAGCAACAGACAGCGTGCAGGGTTCTCAAAATGACACTTTTGGACAGACAAATGCTGAACTTAAAAACGTTGCGACTAAATCGGTTTCTTTTAGCGAAGCCGATTGTTTGTCCCAGTCGCAAAACATGCAAGGGAAAGGTGTTAAAGACGGGCTTGAAAGGGATGATAACGAAGGCACAGAAGTGGGCAGTGGAGAAATAATAGGTTGTTGTAGCAAAGTTACAGAAAACGTTGACTTTCAGTTATCACATGTTGAAAACAACTGCACAAATAGCCCGAATCTTTTGTCAGCCACGTTATCAAAACAAGGCCAACTTATCTCTAGTTTTCACGAAGAAGGTTCCTCTTCACATTCTCTCTGTGCAGTTGAAACACCAGTCACAGACTATTTGAACAAGTGCCCTTGACACATGCAGAGCATACTGGATTGTTTGTACTGGAATTATATTTGTGTATAGAGGGGCTCTTAGGCCGTCTCAGATTGTCAGATTTCATCTTGAAATCTCCACCTCTGTATATTTATGAAAATGAACTGAAAAATTGCTTGGAGGGTGGGATTGGAAAATTCCGTACGTCTTAGGTGTTATCAGCCAGAAAATATCCGTCTGAGAATAAAATTGTTTCTTTCGTTTTTTATTCCAGACCACCAATGCTCTTACTTATTAAGAAGAAGATGGTCAAAACTTGGACCCATTCAATGCACAAGCAACTCGGAATTTTCCTTTAAACCTCGCCATGAGGCTTTCGGGTAAACATTGCCTTTTGTTTGCCATAAAGTTTGATGACCTCACATGACTGTGATCAGTCTTGAATCTACGGGACTGTTCGCAATGCATTTTGTCGACCTAGCTAATGCGCACTTACTCCTCAGGGACTCTTGCTGCATGCAATCTTATGAACAGAATTTCCAATGTACTTGTATATCCACCAGATTTTCTATATTATACTCAACGCCAGAGGGAGGCGTGTTTGTCGACACAATCATTGTGAACTGTCCGTACCAGAACAATTTGGATCATCCGAGATACCCCAAATTCTCTCGACTTAACGCAAAAGAAAGGAGAAGAGTAGGGTCAGAAATAATGACAGAATATGTTTGTGGTGCGTCAACGTATAAAACGGAATTTACGTGGTATCTGCGAATAATTTTCTTATTGTTTTCCCTCAGTTTCTGTCTACAATTTATTTTCTTTATTTTTTAACAGTTATTGTACGACAGTGGTAATTCACCATGTTTTGAACGTCACTTTAATATTGCTTTTTCTAAGGCGACATACCCGACAATCACCTTCGCGTAAAAAATTAGCCCCACCTCACGCCGATTCTCGCAAGTTTTTTGGTCTCAAATAATGTCAGCCGAAAGTGATTAAAGTTATCTGGGATGATCCCCATTATATGTATTCGATCGCAACTTCTGGCAGTTGCTGGAATAGCAATACCGCAGTACTGGATTTGCCCCATGCACGTGCTCACTGTTCAACAATAAGTCATTTAATAATGTTTTAGAATATTAGTGATAGTCACGTCTAACATACAGAAAATGATGACACATCCGCTGTAGAAAATTTACTCCATAAAAATACATTCCGTGTTAACAGACATTTAGTATGACCAAAAGGTTGTATGAAACTCCTTGGTATGAGGAAATCATATTGAAACTGCAGTAATTTGAAAAATCGATGAGTAAACGTGAAATAAAGAAATGAAACATCATTTAAATAAAAATATCGTACACCCCAGATTTACACTTGTCCAGAATAAAGGCCCAGAAGCATACCAAGGTTTCAACTTTAGACAGATAGTTACCATTCAGAATAGAAGACGCAGCATCCGCAAGGCCAAAATCGATCCATGAAAATTACTGCAAATATTTAAAAGGAGAATCGGACCAAACCCAATTTCGAAATTGACAGGAACGTAACGACAATTCCCAATTCCAGTGGGTTTTAGCAAAACGTTTACAATCGCTTCCCAGTCATTGCGGTAACAGGGGTGTCGCTCCGGCGACATGGACAGCCTCGGGTAACCTTCATGATAGAAAAGTCTGTACATAAAAAACAATTACGTATCAAACGCCCGCTGTCTTATATTGACAACCTTGCACATAAAACAATATTTCCATTTATATGTTGGGTTCTAGTTCAAAAAAAAAAAAAATGTAAGCCTCATCTCAATGCCTGCGGCTTCATCAACAACGAACACTGCATGAATCCATTATTTTATATATCTTCCATTAAGATTCTTCATCAACAATAGGCTATTCATTCGGTAAATTTAAGTGAAATAAATAACAGTCATCCTTTGTCCAAGTGTGTTAGTATCTGATATGCTTTATTTTCAAGGTTCAGCAGAGAACATTTTGGAATAACATTTGAAATAAAGGTTCACATCAAATATTTGTTGAAAAAATGCAGCATTATATGCTTTTCAATCTATAGTCATATCACACACGAGCAGTCTGTACTTGCTACTTGTACTTTTCCCTGCTTTGTAGACTTCATTCTACTGAGTAATGTTATGTTATAATATCTAATGGTTGTTAAATAATGGTAATATTAATAATATATATAAGTGAATATCAAATATAGAAGTGATTCCTCATTTTATTTGGCCCCTGATCCTAAGTGTATTCTTATAACATAAACTGGCTTAAATAATTATATTCACAATCACAACCTAGAAGAGTCAATGGTGTCCAGAAACACACTGTTCTTGTTCTTAAAGGGACCACTCCCACAGATATTTGGATCGATCTATCTCCCTGGGGAGTCTCACTAAATTGCTATCAAACTAACCGGCTTAAACATCTGTCACGCCTAGTAAAACTGTTAGGGGGTAATTATCTTTACCCCTAGCTGATTTGGTAGGTGTGACAGACATTTAAGCCTCTTTGAGCTGATGGCAATTTAGCATGAACCCCCAGGGAGTTAGGACGATCCAGATGGATCAGGAACCCAGTGAAAGACATTTTGATGTATATAACAAGAACAAAGGAATGGCAGAACAAAGGAATGGCAATATGCTAAGATTCAACAATTTATAAAGGTTTTACCTTTACAAAATAAACAAGTAATGCAATATGGCAAACTTTTTGCTCAAGATTCAGAACTAACAGATTTGTTTAAGTTCACAAGATACTCTAAAATAAAACCTTCCATGATAACAACAAAAAAAATAGTAACACTAATAATTAGTCATACAACAAACTACATGTAGACTAAGAACTGCATTTCAATGTACCAAAATGACAAAAGAAACAGAGATATTCATATATTTGCAAATTTCCAAGTATCACAAGGGCAATATCCTGAAGTTAACAATAAGCAACGGTCTTGCTTGAAATCATAAACCATCCCTCTAAGCTGAGAATGAAAAACAGCTGTGTCAGTTTACCAGACCTTAAAATTAAGCTACAGAAATAGGTCACAAATATATATGATTGGCCCATAACACATAATTAATAAGTTTTCTCTTTGTTTTCACATTGTGTATAAGTGCAACTTTTGAGAAGGGCTTCTGATTGCATCTCTTTTAAAGAATGTCAATTGTCTTTGAGCTATAAGCACAGGGATCCAAAGAAGAAATGTAATCATAAAAGCCTACAGAAAGTCCATAATGATTCCTAAGTTCAGTTAAATGTCTAATAGTACTTTGAATGGAATGATAACTAGGAACCACTACACAACCAATTCTTTGAAACTTACAGCAGTTATCCACAATTTCTGCAGTCAAAATCTGGAGCATCATCCATCAACATTTGTCTGTATTTTGCATAATTATCCATCTTTTTTAAACTCTATTTTTCCTTATTCCACATACAGAAAGCAAACTAGAAAATATTCAAGCATTATGAAATATCTAAAAATACAATAACTAGTACATCTAACAATAATATATAACAATCCATTAAAATAACAGGGAATATTTACACTTCATAAAATAGCTAAATACTCCAATATATGTATAAAACTTGGTTACTAAAATGCTAGAGATAAAATGTACAACACATGAATCTGTGCATAAAGTACTGTACCAAAATTAGAGTTGAAGTAACATCTGTTAACCTATGGCAAACACACACGCACACAGTTTTCCAATTATTTAATTCAATTATTCATTTATTTAAATGTTAAACCTGGTAATTGATGTTATAGTGATCACAGTTGTCAGTAACCTAATGTGTATGCAAAAACCAAAATGTTGCATTTTCATTTTTTTTAATGTGCAGGTGTCATAAATGGAGCTGGTGACTTTGTACAATTATCATATAGATCTTTAGAAAAAAGACCAGAAAACATACGCTAGAAGTTAAGAACTTCAGCAATGAATGTGTGTGCATTTGTGTGCCTGCATGCTTGTCAAATACATCCATCTTCTTAAATGCCTCATATATCAAACCTGCTCATTCAAATAACACTTTTAAAAGTGCATCTTTGTAGTTGGAATATATCTCAAACCACAATGATGCGACTTCTGAAATCTTATTAACATACTCCCGAGATAAAAGCCACCTCCCTGTCACTGTAACCTACACACCATGAGCTCTCACACCATGACAGAAGCAGCAGTATATTACAACACCTAAAATGGCAACCAGGGCTACTGCTCCAATCGCAATACCAATGATGGCACCAATTGAAATAGTGAACTGTTGAACTGAAATAAAATTTGCAAGAAAAAAATTAGTTATTCCATTGATTCATTTATACTTCTCTACAGCCTCTACAACTAATTCCCCAGTTAATACTTGATTTTGTTTACTAGTAATCATGGAGTAATATAATTAACCAACAACAAAACTGTAAATTATTATATGTACCACAAAAGCTGTGATATGGACAGGCAACCTTTAACATAAGGCAGTGTCAAAATAATACAAATTTTGGGCTCTGATGCCCAGCCCCAAAGTTTTACTGTAAATTCAGGCCTAAAATTATTGAAATAAATACTGAAAAAAATAGCCCAAGCTGAACTTGAATGGTATTTTATTGCTATGAATTATTTTAGTTAAACTGAGAATAATAAGTATTATGTTTTGTGGCATTTAAGGCAATGACAATACTAATGGCAATGACAGAGGAAAGTGATGGTTGTATCTCTCATCACAGATGTCTGTCCATCATCATTCAGAAAAGAGTAAATAATTAATTTTAAAAAAGGCTTAGTGATCACTCAAATCTGTCTGTTATTATTTTGATTATTAACTTATGAGCCATTTGCAGACCAATCATAACATGGTGCTTACCTTCCAGTGACCGAACACTAATTTTGAAGTCATAGTTGATGCGATAGTCAGTTTCTCTTTCAAGAACAAACAAAACATACTCATGTATGTTCTGGTATGACTGTGCCGTTACAGATGAACCAGGGTTGAACACTTTCTAAAATAATGAGTAAAATATAGAAGATTAGCTAGATAAGACCCCTTACACACACACACACACACACACACACACACACACACACACACACACACACAGAAAAAAATTACTGTACCTAAAATATATCAGCTTGAACCACAAATTATAAGTTAACTCAATCAAAGTATTTTTTTTTAACACAAAGGAGTTGAGGATATGACACTGACATCCCTTCAAATAATCTTTATAAAAATATCATATATAAACTTATAAAAATATTACACAATCATATCTGTTTATATGTGATCAGGGAGGAGCTCACCCATGCATTGTTTGGACCTTCACTTCCAGTCCTGATTGTCAATTTAGCTCCAGAATCCTGAGGGATGTACAAATTTTCTACAGAGATAATAAAACCACCTTGGGAGGACCTAAAGCCAATCTCACACATTCCCCCCAGTGACACTGGACGGTTATCACTATCTCTCCAAGCATTAACGAACACTGAATCTTCCTTGTAGACATCTCTTGCCTGTCTTTGACACTGTCCACTTCCAGAATCACTGTCCATATAATCTTAAAGACAAAGGTATACGAGTCTGACTGACTGATGTGAAGAACAAAGGCTGGGTCTATGGTGGCTCACAGATTGAGACCACATATAAGGTATGAACGTAACTTCTAGTATTTTTAAATAGTCTTTCGAATGGTTTTCATTGATCACTATGGATATAAAACCAATGATCATTTGCCATCATTCAATTTGGTTGACATTTGCAATTACTAAGTAACTGGATGAAGTGCACCCCGAACTGTACAGACTGTACTGCCAAATTTGAACTTGCAACTCTCTGAAAAGATATTTTTGATTAAACCATTAAATCTAAATTTACACACAAAAATAATTGTTCAGCCAGCTCCCTGTACTTGGATTTGATGTTCTTTAATCAGTTCTTGTTATAATGAATACTACTTACAGTTGGTAATAGCAAAACCATGTGGAAGGACGCCGCAGAGGAAAAACACTAGTAGAAAATTCTTCAGTTCCATAGTCCCAAATAAACTAAAAACAAGTTATTATATATAAAGCAGTCAGACTGGAACATGGATTTATAGTATATACAGTGCAGTGTTCTGCAGATTAAGTACATGAATTCCTCAACAGATAATATTTGGTCAGGTCTGCAATAATAAGTCATATGAGCANTAAGGCAGTGTCAAAATAATACAAATTTTGGGCTCTGATGCCCAGCCCCAAAGTTTTACTGTAAATTCAGGCCTAAAATTATTGAAATAAATACTGAAAAAAATAGCCCAAGCTGAACTTGAATGGTATTTTATTGCTATGAATTATTTTAGTTAAACTGAGAATAATAAGTATTATGTTTTGTGGCATTTAAGGCAATGACAATACTAATGGCAATGACAGAGGAAAGTGATGGTTGTATCTCTCATCACAGATGTCTGTCCATCATCATTCAGAAAAGAGTAAATAATTAATTTTAAAAAAGGCTTAGTGATCACTCAAATCTGTCTGTTATTATTTTGATTATTAACTTATGAGCCATTTGCAGACCAATCATAACATGGTGCTTACCTTCCAGTGACCGAACACTAATTTTGAAGTCATAGTTGATGCGATAGTCAGTTTCTCTTTCAAGAACAAACAAAACATACTCATGTATGTTCTGGTATGACTGTGCCGTTACAGATGAACCAGGGTTGAACACTTTCTAAAATAATGAGTAAAATATAGAAGATTAGCTAGATAAGACCCCTTACACACACACACACACACACACACACACACACACACACACACACACACACAGAAAAAAATTACTGTACCTAAAATATATCAGCTTGAACCACAAATTATAAGTTAACTCAATCAAAGTATTTTTTTTTAACACAAAGGAGTTGAGGATATGACACTGACATCCCTTCAAATAATCTTTATAAAAATATCATATATAAACTTATAAAAAATTACACAATCATATCTGTTTATATGTGATCAGGGAGGAGCTCACCCATGCATTGTTTGGACCTTCACTTCCAGTCCTGATTGTCAATTTAGCTCCAGAATCCTGAGGGATGTACAAATTTTCTACAGAGATAATAAAACCACCTTGGGAGGACCTAAAGCCAATCTCACACATTCCCCCCAGTGACACTGGACGGTTATCACTATCTCTCCAAGCATTAACGAACACTGAATCTTCCTTGTAGACATCTCTTGCCTGTCTTTGACACTGTCCACTTCCAGAATCACTGTCCATATAATCTTAAAGACAAAGGTATACGAGTCTGACTGACTGATGTGAAGAACAAAGGCTGGGTCTATGGTGGCTCACAGATTGAGACCACATATAAGGTATGAACGTAACTTCTAGTATTTTTAAATAGTCTTTCGAATGGTTTTCATTGATCACTATGGATATAAAACCAATGATCATTTGCCATCATTCAATTTGGTTGACATTTGCAATTACTAAGTAACTGGATGAAGTGCACCCCGAACTGTACAGACTGTACTGCCAAATTTGAACTTGCAACTCTCTGAAAAGATATTTTTGATTAAACCATTAAATCTAAATTTACACACAAAAATAATTGTTCAGCCAGCTCCCTGTACTTGGATTTGATGTTCTTTAATCAGTTCTTGTTATAATGAATACTACTTACAGTTGGTAATAGCAAAGCCATGAGGAAGGATGTCGCAGAGGAAAAACACTAGTAGAAAATTCTTCAGTTCCATAGTCCCAAATAAACTAAAAACAAGTTATTATATATAAAGCAGTCAGACTGGAACATGGATTTATAGTATATACAGTGCAGTGTTCTGCAGATTAAGTACATGAATTCCTCAACAGATAATATTTGGTCAGGTCTGCAATAATAAGTCATATGAGCAGATATTTTTCTTAAATGTCTTAGCTTCATTGCATCTTAAACACTAGCAACATTATCTGACTTACCAACTGAAACCTGTTGGCAGATAACACTACGTACGATTTTAATTAGCGTGAGACATGAAACTGCTATATCAGTCAACTCAACCAAGATTGCAGTGCACTGTGGAATGCAATAAAGTTTTATAATAAATAAATATATAAAACGCAATCTGGACCCTTAACCTACTTTCATATCGATTTACAGTTTTACTGAAATATCATCGTAACATAAAATGCATGGCTTATCATAAAACACCACAATCTAATCAAAGTGGTTTCCTCTATCAACATTCCGATTATCTCAATTAGGTGTCGAAAGATCAACTCAGGTTTTATCTGTGAAATGACCGCACCGACATCTGCAAAATATCCACTTTTTGTGATGCTAAAAAACAAAGAACTAAACAAAAGAAATATATAAGGAATCAACAAAATTACACCACCAATTTTACTGTAGAAAGTGTTGTAAACTTACTTTATAACCCTAATTTTTATACAGCTATTTCCGTTTCTTGGGTGTGGCAAAGGGAATCACATCGCATGCAGTAGACAGTATTACTGGTTATGACAAACATTCTTGAAAGGCTAAGTTGCTTCCGTTAAATGTTGGTAGCCGAGTTTTCTTACCGTGCCATCTCCTCTACAAAAACAATTTTAAAACCAGGATTTCAACATTTACAAAAAGGAAAAAGTTAATACACCCAATATGAAAAAAATAATGCATAGGAGTAGGAGGGAGGTGGGAACTAAGCCCATGTCACTGGTATTTCTACAGGTTTATGCATTGTTTCATTATTTTATGCTCTTTCTCATACACTCAAGCTAAGATCCAACATAAGACTCAAGCAATCCTTTACAATCCATTATAATTTCAAATTCAGTGGAACATCGCTCATTTTAAATCTAAATGTATTTTTATTATAAAATTAAAGTATGTTGATAACATAAAATGTATATATAGGCCCCTACATTAGGCTACTGTCATTTTTTCTTTAATTTTTCGTCGTTCTTTCCGTTGTATCATTTCTATTTTTGTGAGTTTTGGTTTATTTAATTGTTTGTTAGACATTTTCTTAGTAGGCCTATTACGTAAAGCTTTCATTTTTAACAGCAGTTTGGGTTTGACAGCTTATAGTGTTTTAACGCTTAAAACGCGTAGAAATTGTGCATTTTGCGGCACATAGACACTCAGGAATCCCGTTGTGAAAGAAATGAATGTCCCATTTAAGTCCTACAGGCAAAAATTATGTCTTTTATTGTCGGACATATTTTCCCAACTGGATTAGTAAGAACTCTCGATGAACTTTGTATGAAATTATGAAATAAAAAAATTTAAAAAAATTAAAAAAAACAAAAAAAAAAACTCATCACAGCTTCATCGCTTGAAGAAAAAGAACCATTGACTGAGATGCAGTATTTAAATCAGAGTTAGGCCTAATTAAAATCTTTCTACATCTAAATAAATACGAAAAACATCTTTATAAAATGGATTTTTGCTAGAAAATAAAATGACGATAAAAGCTTGAACTAGTTCTTTCTCTTGATGAACCAGAAATGAAAGGGGTAGCAACTTCTCGTTTTGGCAAAAAAAAAAAAAAAAAAAAAAGATTTGCCTGAGTTAAACGACAATTTCCCCATACTTACCAATGGGTAATGAATTCATTCCAACATTCAAAGTCAGTCCAATTTTTAAAAATATTTTATCATTTGTAATAATCTCTCAAGAGATTATTACGGAGGTACATGCAGCCATGTATGAAGGTCCACGTGGTCGCATGGCAAGCATAGATTCCAGCTGTTTTAATTGGTGGTAAAACGGAATTTCTTACATTTCTGAATCTTTTACAATGTTTTTATTGTGAAACATGAATCTCATACGTACAGTTGTAATCCCTCCAAGATTCAAGAACATTTTGAAAATATCATAGATAGATATTGGGGATTCGAACTCAGTTAATACTTCCTGAGGTTGACACTTCTTTCGCCAGCCTAACCCTCGACTCTGTATGAACGTTGCTGTCTGCTGACCGAAAATTACCTATATCAGCAGGGAACGCATAGTCTGCTATCTAATAACTACTGTTGAACATGGTACATGTAAATATGAAATCTGAATACAAAACATTATAATGGAATTATCGATGGTCAAATCTTTTCTAAACAAAACTCACAATAGTTCTTGAGGAACATCCTGTCATGATTTCACCATCAGCACATAGAACTGTCACAGTTTTCCTGTTATCAATGCCAGATTGTGCAGACCATCTACTTACACAGCTCAGACCTCTGGGGCGGATCTAGGATTATTTGAATAGAGGAAGGAGGGGGGTCCGAGAATGCAAAGCACGGCGTTGGTGTTTTCATAAAATAAATAAATGGAAAAAAATGTGATTCGTTCTGCATTCATTTTTCAAATGACCAGATTGATTAATTTGATTAATAAGATTTTATACAATATGAAAATGGAAATGGTCTAACAATGCTTCATGAAACTAGGAATTTACATGAAATAAATTCAAGTCTTTTAAGCAATATCATAAAGGCATGCTTATTGATTAAAAAAAAACTCTTAGTAAACTTATGAAAACACTTTATCAGTATACTGGTAAGCACTATATTTTCAAATACTTTCATTTTTGCTGAATACTTGGGCAACGGCACCCATATTTGTCCATAAAAATTTAACAAAAGATTCCATTTGAATTCCAGGCTGTAACTTGGTCAAAAGATATTGAAATCTATTAAATCAGTACATCATCTGTACTTATACAAACGGAAGTTTATAAGATATGAAATTTAATTCTTTAACTGTTAAAATGTACAAAAAGTTAAAATATATAAATTAAAACATCTAAATATATAAATTTATTTACTCTTTTAAGTTTATTATTCATTTATAAGCAAAAGGTACCAAGTTGGTTTTTAAATTTTGTTCTCACTTCAAGGATCTAAACTATACTGTTGGTTTTTCACTGTCTAGATCTGTATGTCACAATGAAGAGTTTCTCAAATCCCAATATGTTAAAAGTGCTGCGTCAACAATGGCCCTCAAATGTATTTCATTAGTCCTCACTGGAGTGGCTTGCCCTCAGTAAAAAACCTGTGGTCTCAAGTTTCATTTTCAAGTCAGTTATAGTCTGCATTATGAACTCTCCCCTGCTTTTAATTCAACATAATCTACCGCTTTTCTCTTCACAGCATCCACAGTTTCTTCACTGCCATACTTCTTTTCAAATTCAAGAAACTTTTTAAAGAAAAACTTCATCTTCTTGGCTGAGACATTCAAATTAATCACCCGTTCAAAAAGATGCCTAGAAAAAAGAAAAGTAACAATTACTTCAAAGGATATAAGTGAAAAAAGTTATCACCTATGTTTTTCGTTCACAGAGCAGATAACAATACAAACTACTTCATAATAAAGTCACACCTCACATCTGTGCAGTGTAAATTACAGTATACTTTCATCAAACTAAAAAAAATGATAAAAATTGGTTTTACATAAAGAACAATTAAACTCTCACCTTACAGGCTCCAGTTCTCCCACCTTTATCATCATATCAATGTACACAGACCAGAGATCAGTGCGTTTTGGGTAGTTACTGAGGATGTTCTCAAACATGGTCTTGCCGCGCTCTGCCTCACCATGTTGGAACTCCATCTGAGCAAATTTGGCAATCAGCTCAACGTCTAAATAGAAACCATTTTAACTTATGTTAAAATCAAACTCTTTATGCTTAAAATGAGTGTCTAATTATACTGTATAGTTAACCTAGCAAGATAAACATGCTAAAAAAGGTCAATCATCATACTGTTTCCTCTGTTATCTGAAAGCATTGTATCATTTACATATATGATCATTGACAGACATTTATATATATGAAAATATGAAATGAGTAAAAAACAAGGCAGCAAAGCTGTCAAATGTACAGACAAAAAACGGAAAATAAAGATGCAAAAAAGGTCATTTTGTCAATTTTGATGCAATAATAAATGATGCTTATAATAGCACTGTCAGTCAACACTGAATTTTAATCATGCACAACAGATAACATGGTCAATAACATGAGCGGACCCTGAGATATTTTCTGACAGTATTCCAAAGTATCTATGTTGATCCATCCTCTATTTTNACCATGTGGAAGGACGCCGCAGAGGAAAAACACTAGTAGAAAATTCTTCAGTTCCATAGTCCCAAATAAACTAAAAACAAGTTATTATATATAAAGCAGTCAGACTGGAACATGGATTTATAGTATATACAGTGCAGTGTTCTGCAGATTAAGTACATGAATTCCTCAACAGATAATATTTGGTCAGGTCTGCAATAATAAGTCATATGAGCATATGCATCTTAAACACTAGCAACATTATCTGACTTACCAACTGAAACCTGTTGGCAGATAACACTACGTACGATTTTAATTAGCGTGAGACATGAAACTGCTATATCAGTCAACTCAACCAAGATTGCAGTGCACTGTGGAATGCAATAAAGTTTTATAATAAATAAATATATAAAACGCAATCTGGACCCTTAACCTACTTTCATATCGATTTACAGTTTTATTGAAATATCACCGTAACATAAAATGCATGGCTTATCATAAAACACCAAAATCTAATCAAAGTGGTTTCCTCTATCAACATTCCGATTATCTCAATTATGTGTCAAAAGATCAACTCGGGTTTATCTGTGAAATGACCGCACCGACATCTGCAAAATATCCACTTTTTGTGATGCTAAAAAACAAAGAACTAAACAAAAGAAATATATAAGGAATCAAGAAAATTACACCACCAATTTTACTGTAGAAAGTGTTGTAAACTTACTTTATAACCCTAATTTTTATACAGCTATTTCCGTTTCTTGGGTGTGGCAAAGGGAATCACATCGCATGCAGTACACATTATTACTGGTTATGACAAACATTCTTGAAAGGCTAAGTTGCTTCCGTTAAATGTAGATAGCCGAGGGTTTTTTTTTTTTTTTTTTTTTTTTTTTTTTTTTTTTTTTTTTACCGTGCAATCTGCTCTACAAAAACAATTTTAAAAACTAGAGGATTTCAACATTTACAAAAGGAAAAAGTTAATACACCCAATATGAAAAAAAAAATGCATAGGAGTAGGAGGGAGGTGGGAACTAAGCCCATGTTACTGTCATTTTTACAGGTTTATGCATTGTTTAATTATATTATGCCCCTTCTCATACACTCAAGCTAAGATCCAACATAAGACTCAAGCAATCCTTTACGATCCGTTATAATTTCAAATTCAGTGTAACATCACTCATTTTAAATCTAAATGTATTTTTATTATAAAATTAAAGTAGTCCTATGTTGATAACATAAAATGGCCCCTACATTACTGTCATTTTTTTCTTTGATTTTTCGTCATTCTTTCCGTTGTATCATTTCCATTTTTGTGAGTTTTGGTTTATTAAATTGTGTTTGTTAGACATTTTCTTAGTAGGCCTATTACGTAAAGCTTTCATTTTTAACAGCAGTTTGGGTTTGACAGCTTATAGTGTTTTAACGCTTAAAATGCGTAGAAATTGTGCATTTTGCGGCACATAGACACTCAGGAATCCCGTTGTGAAAGAAATGAATGGCCCATTTAAGTCCTACAGACAAAAATTATCTCTTTTATTGTCGGACATATTTTCCCAACTGAATTAGTAAGAACTCTCGCTGAACTTTGTATGAAATTATGAAATAAAACAATAAAAAATTTTTTAAAAAATCATCACAGCTTCATCACTTGAAGAAAAAGAACCATTGACTGAGATACAGTATTTAAATCAGAGTTAGGCCTAATTAAAATCTTTCTACATCAAAATAAATACGAAAAACATCTTTAAAATGGATTTTTGCTAGAAAATAAAATGATGATAAAAGCTTGAACTAGTTCTTTTTCTTGATGAACCAGAAATGAAAGGGGTAGCAACTTCTCGTTTTGGCAAAAAAAAAAAAAAAAAAAAAAAAAAAGATTTGTCTGGGGTAAACAACAATTTCCCCATACTTACCAATGGGTAATGAATTCATTCCAACATTCAAAGTCAGTCCATTTTTTAAAAATATTTTATCATTTGTAATAATCTCTCAAGAGATTATTACGGAGGTACAGCCATGTATGATGGTCCACATGGTCGCATGGCAAGCATAGATTCTAGCTGTTTTGGAGGTAAAACGGAATTTCTTACATTTCTAAGTCTTTTACAATGTTTTTATTGTGAAACATGAATCTCATACGTACAGTTGTAATCCCTCCAAGACTCAAGAACATTTTGAAAATATCATAGATAGATATTGGGGATTCGAACTTAGTTAATACTTCCTGAGGTTGATATTTCTTTCGCAAGCCTAACCCTCGACTCTGTATGAACGTTGCTGTCTGCTGACCGAAAATTACCTATATCAGCAGGGAACGCAGTCTGCTATCTAATAACTACTGTTGAACATGGTACATGTAAATATGAAATCTGAATACAAAACATTATAATGGAATTATCGATGGTCAAATCTTTTCTAAACAAAACTCACAATAGTTCTTGAGGAACATCCTGTCATGACTTCACCATCAGCACATAGAACTGTCACAGTTTTCCTGTTATCAATGCCAGATTGTGCAGACCATCTACTTACACAGCTCAGACCTCTGGGGCGGATCTAGGATTATTTGAATAGAGGAAGGAGGGGGGGGTCCGAGAATGCAAAGCCAAGCCGCCGCCGCCCCCCCCCCCACCCCCCCCACCCCCCCCGGCGTTGGTGTTTTTCATAAAATAAATAAATGGAAAAAAATGTGATTCAAGTCTTTTAAGCAATATCATAAAGGCATGCTTACTGATTAAAAAAAAACTCTTAGTAAACTTATGAAAACACTTTATCAGTATACTGGTAAGCACTATATTTTCAAATACTTTCATTTTTGCTGAATACTTGGGCAATGGCACCCATATTTGTCCATAAAAATTTAACAAAAGATTCCATTTGAATTCCAGGCTGTAACTTGGTCAAAAGATATTGAAATCTATTAAATCAGTACATCATCTGTACTAATACAAACAGAAGTTTATAAGATATGAAATTTAATTCTTTAACTGTTAAAATGTACAAAAAGTTAAAATATATAAATTAAAACATCGAAATATATAAATTTATTTACTCTTTTAAGTTTATAATTCATTTATAAGCAAAAGGTACCAAGTTGGTTTTTAAATTTTTTTCTCACTTCAAGGGTCTAAACTATACTGTTGGTTTTTCACTGTCTAGATCTGTATGTCACAATGAAGAGTTTCTCAAATCCCTATATGTTAAAAGTGCTGCGTCAACAATGGCCCTCAAATGTATTTCATTAGTCCTCACTGGAGTGGCTTGCCCTCAGTAAAAAACCTGTGGTCTCAAGTTTCATTTTCAAGTCAGTTATAGTCTGCATTATGAACTCTCCCCTGCTTTTAATTCAACATAATCTACCGCTTTTCTCTTCACAGCATCCACAGTTTCTTCACTGCCATACTTCTTTTCAAATTCAAGAAACTTTTTAAAGAAAAACTTCATCTTCTTGGCTGAGACATTCAAATTAATCACCCGTTCAAAAAGATGCCTAGAAAAAAGAAAAGTTACAATTACTTCAAAGGATATAAGTGAAAAAAGTTATCACCTATGTTTTTCGTTCACAGAGCAGATAACAATACAAACTACTTCTTAATAAAGTCAAACCTCACATCTGTGCAGTGTAAATTACAGTATACTTTCATCAAACTAAAAACAAATGATAAAAATTGGTTTTACATAAAGAACAATTGAACTCTCACCTTACAGGCTCCAGTTCTCCCACCTTTATCATCATATCAATGTACACAGACCAGAGATCAGTGCGTTTTGGGTAGTTACTGAGGATGTTCTCAAACATGGTCTTGCCGCGCTCTGCCTCACCATGTTGGAACTCCATCTGAGCAAATTTGGCAATCAGCTCAATGTCTAAATAGAAACCATTTTAACTTATGTTAAAACCAAACTGTTTATGCTTAAAATGAGTGTCTAATTATAATGTATAGTTAACCTAGCAAGATAAACATGCTAAAAAAGGTCAATCATCATACTGTTTCCCCTGTTATCTGAAAGCATTGTATCATTTACATATATGATCATTTATAGACATTTATATATATGAAAATATGAAATGAGTAAAAAAAAAGAATATTACTGCTACTCACAATTTAAAGATCATTCATGTCTAATAATCATCACTTTGATTTTTTAACTGACACTTACGATCTTTCTTCTCCAGACTCTTCAAGCTCCTCTGGAGCAGCTTCCTGGCAGACTCAGCTCTATTCTGTCTAAAATAAAATGTCCCAAAGCTTATCCAAGTATCCTTCCTCAAGCTGAACCGCTTCACTAGCTTGTTATAAAGCTGTTCTGCCAGCTGAAAAATAAGAATGAGCTGCATTACATGCAAATCACACACACACACAAATTAATATAAATAATAAAATTAAATAATAACATGCTTGAAAGATCAATTTCATACCTTTTGAGTTTACCTATGTTTTGCTCAATAGCCAACAGTTTATTATATAATGATTTGCTTTCATTTCTCATTAAAATACCTTGAGCTATAATGAAATTATCCCATAACATGATTTTTTTAAGGATATCTTTAAAATATAAATATTTTCAAAAGATCAAAAATGCACTTCAGTTTTTCTGCTTTAATCATTAATAGAAACTCACAAAACTAATAACTATATTTCAAGAATCTATGCTATGCAGGAGAAAAATACAGGAACACATTTATTAAATGCATTCCTTAATTTGTTTACTAGGTGCATGTTGTATTATACACACCTCATGTTTCTCAGATCTCACATATATATCAATCAGCTTCTGGTAGACCTTGAAAGGCTCTGCTTGCTGGAGGGCCCTTTCAAATACCTGGTTCAACTGCTCTGGGCTGCCGTACATGTTCTCTAGATTCATATATGCTACCCATACATTAAGCTTTTCTTGTTCTTCCCTAAAACAAATGCTTGGAACTAAATTTGTGATAAAAACTGCAAAATGAATTTCACATAATTTTCAGTAATAAAAATAAGAGGATTAATCTTTTTCAAAACAATATACCTGAAGCTGATGGTTTTCAAAGCACGTTCTGCAACTGCTCTAGCCTTGTCGATCTCTGTTGTCTTCAACAGAAAAGCCATGTATGCCAGCCACACAACAGAACTGTCAGAGGACTGAAGTACCAGACGGTCATACTCTTCTATTGACTGTGGCTCCATCTGCTGGCCTAGCATACGTTCCTCACGCTGAAATTTAGAAGAAAATGATAATGTATGGACAGGCAATCTTCATTTTTGCGGTATATATAATCAATCAAATGTGATTGGATCACCATGAGAAATTGTGTTATGATGCACTCAAAAAACATATTTTGTAAAAAATTTCACCATAAACACTGAGAAGACAACCATTTTGAAGTTGTCATGTTAGGTACATAATAAGCAACTAAAATGAAACAAACCTCGATAAGTTTCTTTTCTTCTTGTTTTTGTTCTTCAATCTTCTGCTTTTTAGTTTTCTTTGGTTTATCCTTGAACAAGCAACAAAACAATTAACAGAGTATTGAAATTTTTAAATGTCAACTTTTTTTTATAGAAATTATGCAAAATTATGCAAAACTAAGTCTTAGTTCCTGCACTTCATATGCACATATACTAAAGAAAAGTGAAAAACATACTAAACTATCCAGTCATCAAATGGGTCGTAAAGGCATTCAAATCCATTATAATACAGTGTCAGCCATCATACCTCTTCTTCATCATCTGAATCCTCACTCTCATCACTCTCCTGCTTCCCAGGCAAGCTGAAGCTAGTGTCCCAGGAGAAGCTGGTAGAAAGTTTTAGCCTGGGTGTGCCACCTGCTGGTCTCTTAGTAGTTGCAGCCTGTTAAAAAAATGAGAATGTTACAAATGCAAATGGAGCAAATAAATATGAACTGGAATTTTACAAATGGTGTGATTAAGGTGTATATTGTCCAGTACAAATGTTATTATGTATTAACTGATACACTATATTAACTGACAACAGAGTGCCTAGACTACATTCAGTTACCCTGCCTGCCAGCTGCAAATTGCTGACATGTCATGACACATTTTATCTCACACAGTACAATACGTATATATTCACAGTACATACCACACTTGTGAATCATAAAAATAATGATTTTTTGTACCTTAACTTCAGTATCAGAATCAGATTTATCATTTGTATCCACCCCACTGTCTTGATCCTCAGCCACTTCAGGTTTCTTCTTTTTCTTCTTAATTTCAGGCTCTTTGTCTGCTTTTCTTTTCACAGGTTTTGTATCCTTCATTGCTGTCTCTTTTTGACTTTCTTGTTCAGTAACTGGCTTCTTTGTTTTCGTTGGTTTGCCAAGTCTTTTATTTGTCATGAGAGCCTTTGGAATACTCTCTGGGACTCCAGTGTCCTTTTCTAACAGTGACAGCTCAAGTTTATGGCTACTTGCATCAATGCTACAAATAATAAGGTAGTATATTATAATACTCTGTCCGTCATTGTTTGTTGTCTGTTACAATTTCAAAAATTTTAATTTCTCAATTTACTTTAAGCAAATTCATAACTCATAAATTAGCAAGAACAAATATGACATAACATATGGCATACACATTGCAAAAATACACAACTACAGTGAATGTCTGAATAAGCTGGAAATTTTAATGGCTTACCTTAAAACCTTAGCAGTCACAAGTTTTCCAGGAGGATACGTTTCCTCTATATTCTTAACAAAGTAGTCTGAGAGGTTAGAAAACTTCACTCTTCCAGATACATTCCTACCAAGGCTGAAGGACCACAAACAAAAATAATTTTTATAATATAGAAAAACATTTCAATGCAAAATGACCTATCCTAATTCATAAGATACTGAATCTTTTTCAGTGATTGCACTAGATGAAGAACTCCACCCCTCCTGTGATAATTTTCAAATGTGTCTATATTACTGTCAGTAGAAATGTTTGTAATAATTTAAATAAGAAATCCCACATACAAAATTTACCAGCAATACTGTTGTGCTTGCATTTAATGTGTGTGTGTGTGTGTGTGTGTGTGTGTGTGTGTGTGTGTGTGTGTGTGTGTGTGTGTGAGAGAATGCTTATCTTTTCCACTATAGTAAATTATACTTACCTGACAAACACGCCAGTGCTGGAGCTATTATTAATAAATCCACACAGAACTTGTCCTTGCTTGATGTCTTCATACTTGACAATTTCTTTATCTTTCACTTTATTTCTTTGATTCCCCTCCTTAGATAATCTTCAACATGAAAGGACAAAAAATATCCATTAAACAATTACACATGCTTTCTTTTAACTGCAACTCACTGCAACATCAAACTTCTATCAAAAAGGGAAAAAAAACATGTACTGAATATGTATTGCATATATATATATATATATACCTTGACTTCCTAAGTGAAAGCACACATTTGTCCCTCTGTTTCTTATCACAGCTGACCACAAAACACTGCACAATCTGGTTCTCCTTGAAGCAGCTCAATGGCATGTCTGTGAATGTATCTGCTATGTCAGTGAACACCACCTTGCCCTTGTAGCCATCACTAAGATGAACCATTAAACCACTGTGTGGCTGGATCTGAGTGACCAGTCCTCGGACAACAGCTCCTGCCTTGACCTCACTTTTAGCACCTGAAAATTACATTCATGATATTAAATTTCATAGAACCTGACTTCATCTTGCAATCACATTTTTAGTTTTAAATTCCCTTTATACTTACCAACCAATGATAGCTCCAGCTCCTTGCCCAAGCCAATAACAGTGGCAGTATAGGCTGTACCAGGCTTGAAGTACTGATCTGGGCAGGATAGCACCTGGGGGAAAAAGTCATAGAATACAAATTTACATTTTGGATCATCAATGTCACACACTGATCGATCTTAACCTCTAAGGTCCTAAACTATTTTAAAATTTATTTAAAACCAAGTATTAATAATATCTGACCTTAAAACAAATTGTAAAAAACTATCAGGCCAGTTAATATGACAGATATGACCAACCTTTTATCATTTTCATTTTTCAAGTCTTTCGCATTTCACTGCATATTAAACAACAAATAATAATGCACTCAAATTTACCTTTTGATTATCTGACAGGTTGAGAATGTACACTTTTCCACGTACAAGAGGATTGACCTGCATCCACAAGCAGTGATTGACAAACTGAAATATATTGTAGACTACCTTGTGTCTGCACCCAAGTGAATGTATACATGCATAAAAATGACACACAAAAAGTTCTTCAAAAAATTGCATACCAATCCTACAGACAAGAGAGCCTGTGACAATGCTTCTATTTAATTAGTACACAAATGATCATACATGGGTAAATATGTCCTGTTTGAAACTTGAAACAGTAGATTAATATGTTCCACTTACGGTGTGTGCAAAGGCAGTAACTTTGTCTCCTATTTTGTATGTTGATGCTGACACATCTTCATCATCCCTAAATCCTTTCACTGCCAGCTTACTACAACATCAAATCACAATTTCAAATCATAATAGTGGCAACGTCAGTGATGTCAGTCATGGACTTATGCAAAATATTTTCTCAATGACAACATTATAGAAAAGAGTACCTGAAATGCTTTATAATCAGACACTGCATCTATTAAAATATGAGTGCTCACCTGGGCTTCAGTGTACACTCTGGAATAGCTTTGGAACATTTTGGATTGGAAATTGGAAGGTACCTGAAAATATGAATTGGGATATTTCTTATCATTGCTGGTTGAAGACGTTGAAAATGCAACATACTCTAATTCATTATATGTATGTACATTCTCTAAAATACAATAGGGACTGTGTCAGTACATAGAAATTACCCCTTTTAATTTAGGTAGGTATTGATTAATTTTGATTAATTTACCTGTATGACTTTGAATCTCTGAACCCAATAATCTTGACCTTCACCTCTTGGTTCACTTTATAGTCTTCAAATGGTGATTTTCCCTGCAAAATTACTTTGACAAATTATCACTAAAAAGGAAGCTTCACTGAAATGGCTCATTACAATGTTGTCTACCTAAAATCTTCTTCCTAGCAGATTAAAGATAAAATATTTCTTTTAAAATATTCTTTTCATGGCACTATTTTCCCACTGTTTCAGAAAAATAAAACGCAGTAAAATCAGGCATTTATTGACAAGTGCAATACTACAGTTTAATCCTATTAACTGCACAGTAGACCACTGGGGAAATTTTACCAAAAGATCCAATACCTCCTCAATGTCATCCACCACTTCTGATATACATATTCTACCTGGCACATCTCCAATGCTGATGTTTATCTGCAGATCAAGAAACTTGTGGATGCTGTTCAAAATGAAATAGCACATCTAAGTCATAAAAATAAAAAAGTTAAAAATCACAGCATCACATTCACACATTAATTTAGATCACCAAGTACTTAATAAATATTACTTTCAAAAAAGTGGGCATCATTTCAAAAACCATACAATAACTATGCTAAAATTGGACTTGAACTGTATAAAACAGTCAATTAATTGCAAAAAAAAATCTCTTGGTTGATGAGAAAACCATAAGCATTACCTTTGTATCTATAAATATCCTTTGCACAATACAAATGGAAATTATATCAAGCACAAAGCTGTCCTAAAAGTCTCACACCCAACTTTTGCACTTAACAGTCCAAAACCGGAAATAGGTTGAAAGAATTATTTTGACTTATGCGTTATGTGAGTGAAAATTATGTATGTATAATATAAGTCCACTAAAAATCCCACTCACACAGCCTTGACCCTGGCTCCCAGCTTAAGCTTGTGCTCTGGCACTCCTCTTGATTTTTCTTTCTCAGCCTCCTCCCGCTCGGCATTTTTTTCTTCATGTGTTTGCAGGCTCAACAAAATGTGGTCCATGTATATCCTAAAATGGATCATGTTTCATAGTTCACATCTTTTTACTACCTTAAACTAGAACAGTTGGTTTCGGTCTTTTAATCTATTTCTTGGACCTATCAAAATGCTAAATGCAAGAGAAAACTATTTACGTACCTCTTCACAACCACTGAATTTGTTTGGTTAATGCTAAACTGGTGTTTCTCCAGAAAGTCATTTGGATGCTGGAAAGACAGAGAGTAGAGGATTTATATGGAAGAATAGACAATCTGACTGTAAAGGTGTAAATCATATGACAACATTTGTTATTTGAAGTGAAATAGTTGAATTGTAGGCAGGTATTTATAGTTTACACCTACACTGAACAGTTATTATCTTCACTCGGGAAAAGTGAAACAAACCTTGCTTAATGAGGGCTTTCTGCTCTCTCCCACTAGTACCTAACTCACCTTCTTAGCAGGTAGGTATCCCAGCTTACCAAGGGCATGCCCCTTTAATGAAACCAGGATGAAGTCATCTTTGATGAGTAACACATCACATTTCATATGCTGGCCAGGTTTAACCTTAAAGTATAACATGTATGTATATAAAACAAAATGTACATTGTACACACATCCATGGGATTTTTTAGGGACTTCACACTCTATGTGTAGGCGCATTTTTTTCTGAGCTCTATCAGATCTGAATATTCTTTCCGTTTAAACAGGTTATACAGCCCTGTTTACACAAACAAAGCCCTTACATAATATCATGTGAAAAATCTAAAATTCTAAAATTCATTCAAAATGAAATTTTAAGGAGAATGCTCTGCATCCTTAAATCAAGAGAATCCTAAACAAGTCAGTAACATGGCAATTGAGGCCATGTGGAATGTAAATGTTATCTAACATGTTTTACCCTCTTGAAATAAAGATTATTATTATTATTATTATTAATGCAAAGTTATTCTACCTGTGAAAATTTATTCTCCCTTTTATGTTTGATAGCCTTGACCAGTTCCTGGTTGAAGGCCAGTTCTAAGCAGCTGGCCAGGACATCTATATGTAAGACCACAGCCTCCAAGTGGTCTCCAGGCTGACAGGTCACACCTGAGATAGAGGTCAATGACATTCTTGAATTGTATGTACACTTTATATGTGAAATAGTGGTAAACCAAACATACAATACTAAGCAAAACTTATTGCTATGGGTTAGACCATTTTCTGATTCAAAAACTTATCTGAAGAATGATACAATTCCAAAGGAAAATACACTGTCACAATTGGCATTCACTTTTTATAATATAAAATAAAATAAGCATTCTGCATAATTTCATTTACTGGTGAATGATACGAACCAATCATATTTTCATAAGTGACCACGCCCCTGAGTCCGCTCTCCAGATTACATAGTGCTCCATGTTCAGTAACCTCGGCAACAGTGACACCAACTACGCTCCCTACGGCTACCTCTGACAGTCTGTGCTTCTGACCTAAAATTTATAACCTTAAATATAAGAAAAAATCCAGAACAGAACAGAAAGTCACAATCTATTCTGAATTGTAAAGCAAACCACATTAAAGGATAGTATGTATGTCTTAATGGCAAAGAAAAGAAAGCATGATTTAAAGGCAGAGAGAAAATGAACTCACGATCTTAAGAAAAAGACAAAAGAGAAATTAAACTAATATTTCAGTCTTGAGTCACCCTTTTTTGGTTCCTTAAACCTTCTGCTTTTTGCCAACATACCCTTTTTTCCCTCAAGTTTTGATAACACCAAGTCCCTCTCCACTAAATAATCCTCTAAATGGTCAATACCAATGCTGGTGTCATCATGATAACAGTCAGACATTCGTAAACTCAGCAGAAATCGCTTTTTTTCTTCATCCACTTCAATGACCTTGGCAATCACTGATTGACCCACTTTGTAGAGGGAGGATGCATCTGCTACCCTCTTGTCTGACATAAACTAAACCAAAAACAAAGATATGAAATTAAAGAACAAGAGAAAATAGAAATTACATAAGTTGGTATGCAGAAAAGCCTATAAGACAAAATTTCGAACAACACCCTTCTTAACAAGGGCATAAAAAGATACGAATTTACACTCATAACAATTACATGGAAAAATATACACTGTCAGATAAAAGAAAGCACCAAGAACGATCAATATTAAAAACCACTTTGCTTATATAATAAAATAACTATTGTCACTGATCATACTCCCTACCTTGGTTGGAGCAAGGCCTATCAGAGCATTGCAGGTGTCCACAAACACACCATAGTCCATCACTTTGTGTATCACACCAGGCAACAACAGGCCAGGCTAATAAACAGATTAGAGAAATTCATTAAAATTAGTCCATCTGCTAAATAACCTCTGTGGTATAATTACACCTGTAACTGCATACATGTTTCTAACTACCTTTAAAATGAGAAAATTGGCATTAGGAGGGAGACTTGACTGCCATGATTAAACCACTGAATGTGTTCATTTCCACCAAACAGAATGTGTCTTGAAGCCAGTTTAATGGCCTTTGTCTTCTGTCATCATGCTGAAAACCTTTAAATAAACCAATGCAGTAATGAAGTGGGCTGTTTTTCACACAAAAGAACAATTAGGTCTTTCTATTGCCATACACTGGAGATATGGTAAATAAACATTTGGAGGGCACAGCTGTGAAGAATTAAAACTAAAATCACCACTGAAAATGAGGTTACTACAGCAGATTCATTAATTGTCTAAATATATAAGGCACAAGAAATTTAATGCCTACTTTTATCTTGGAAAATTCTGTGATAAGGTTAGCATCTTTCGCAGCCTGAACAAAAGATGGTTTTTTGGTCAAAGTCTGAGAATGAGTTAAGGCATATTTCGAAATAATTTTTTTAATTGTTACATGCATACACTTCGATGATAATGATGACGACCTTAAAAATGACTATGGAAATATTGTGTAAGGATACAAGCACACTGCTTCTATTAAAATACATTGCACTCTTGATGACATTTCCTTCACTATATGAATCCCATAATACTTCACAGTTCTCCATATGGTCTGATAGATGAGCTTTGGGAATGAAGGCCCGCAGTCGGGATGGTAACAGTGCCACATCAAGACCACTATCAGTCTTCTTCGTAATTTTACAGTCAACCAGCTGTGGATAAAATACAGTACACAAGATTTAATATAAGGATACAAGAACTTGTCATATAACTTGATAAGTAAAACTCATACTATTTGCTATTCATTTGCTAAATTTCAAAAGATAATGTACCTTTCCAATCTCAAAGTCTTCAGGAACTGTTGCCAGTTTACTTCCAAATGGAGTCCTTTCAGATACCTGCAAATCAGAACAGATGAAACAATTGAAACTGTTTACTTTGCTTCTTTGAGAAAGATTGAAAAAATTCTTTCCAATGCATGTCAGTTTAATAGTACTGAAAATTCCCGTTTACAGTTTTAAATATGAAATGTATGTCTATTTAAAGAGGACGTATGAGTAGCAGTGATAGTGCTTTGATCCCCATGGTACATAATTGTTTTCATTAGCCAATACCTTAAATGACAAGGTAGCTCTTTCTTCATCTGGGAAACAGTTCAACACCCTACACTTTACAACTTGGCCTATGTAAAACATTTTCTCAGGATAGTCTATCTTCTCTGCACTCAGCTCTTTCTTTGGGACAAACCCCTGAAATGTGGAAAATGTGGAAAATAATACAGAACAAGCCAATCTGTGTTATTTTCAAAAAGCACTTAAAAGAGAACATACACCTTGCATACTCTTCAATACTGAAAATCTAACATGTTCATTTTACACATCATCAAACAATTTTTAAAGTACAAAACATTAAAAACAAACATCAGCATAAATGTTATGTATAGTATAAATTAAAAGTTCTCCTCCAATGATTAGGTTTGCAGCAATGTCTTGTATATACCTTAACACTGTTATAGAGTGCCACCAATACTCCTGCATCCATAATTTTGACAATGAATCCATCCACTGTGATGCCTGTCTCCAGCTGACTATATTGGGTTATGATGGGAAGTTTAGAGTTCACTAAAGACCTTTTGTGAGTGAGGATCAGTCTCTGTTTCGCAGGATCAACATTTAAAACCTGGAAAGATCAAGCTTAATAAAATTATACTTTTTCACCTTACAAGTTACTAATAATAAAAGTAGCTAAATAAATATGAACAAGTACGCATCATCTGCTCATTTAAGTTGACACAGTCTGTGTGCAAACATTTTAGCATACTGATCCTCCAAGCCATCAGTGTCTGAGAATCTACTGGCCCAAAGAAGAGAACAGTGGCCAAAATTTAAATGGATGAAATGTGACATATCATCAATTTTAGCAATAAACAATAGTTTCCCCTGGTTAAAAAGGTGAGTGAGGTGGTAAGCTTTTATATCCTCTTGTGTTTTTGCCTATTCTCTGGTCCTAGCAGAAAGAGCATCACAGAGAGTTGTGGAAAAAACCTGTGAGAGGAGAGGAATCCACAGAATATTTTGAAAAAAATTGGGGAAAATGTTGCATTCTGAACACATTTAATGGGACTGCTTTTTAAAATGATCCTTACTCTGCATTTCATTTTTTGGCTTTCTTTAAACTTCTTTTCTGGCTGCTTTAGTGCTGCATCAAAAAGATGAATGGTGGGAACAAAACCTCTGATTTGATTGGAAACCTTCACAGACACGCCCTTCTTGTGAATTCCTTGCACATTGCACTAAAAAGAGATGATTACTGGACTATAAAACACACTTCTGCAAGAAAACTATATTTTTCAATACTTCATTCCATGAAATCATTCAGTTACTTACCGTAATAAAATGTTGATCAACTTCTTTATCAAATTTATTACTTATTAAACTTTATGTCAACCACCCATTTCAAATAATTTCCTCTGAAATTATATTTTGGGCCACACTTTTTTAATTTTATGGATGACATCCTGCGCGCGCACCGATTTTCGTCCGTTCTCCAAAAAAAAAAAAAAAAAATCCCCCCCCCCAAGGAAGTCGGTTGTCGCAAACGTCGTTATTGAATTTGCCGGAAAATGCAATCGGCAATCCTCGGCTAATTCCGCAAGCTCCATGCTGTCATTGTCGACTGCGGAGATATCCGAGTAGTTCCGAGTGCGGAAAATGAGCTTTCTGCGCATGCGTATTATCACCACGTGGAAATATGGCCGCTTTGCCGTCAAATTCATCTCTAGCATTAATTTCAAAATACACGACAATTAAAGTCATAAAGAGAACGGGGGCCGTCGTTTTGGATTGGTTTGCCATTGATATTGGACNCAACACCCTACACTTTACAACTTGACCTATGTAAAACATTTTCTCAGGATAGTCTATCTTCTCTGCACTCAGCTCTTTCTTTGGGACAAACCCCTGAAATGTGGAAAATGTGGAAATGTGGAAAATAATACAGAACAAGCCAATCTGTGTTATTTTCAAAAAGCACTTAAAAGAGAACATACACCTTGCATACTCTTCAGTACTGAAAATCTAACATGTTCATTTTACACATCATCAAACAATTTTTAAAGTACAAAACATTAAAAACAAACATCAGCATAAATGTTATGTATAGTATAAATTAAAAGTTCTCCTCCATTGATTAGGTTTGCAGCAATGTCTTGTATATACCTTAACATTGTTATAGAGTGCCACCAATACTCCTGCATCCATAATTTTGACAATGAATCCATCCACTGTGATGCCTGTCTCCAGCTGACTATATTGGGTTATGATGGGAAGTTTAGAGTTCACTAAAGACCTTTTGTGAGTGAGGATCAGTCTCTGTTTCGCAGGATCAACATTTAAAACCTGGAAAGATCAAGCTTAATAAAATTATACTTTTTCACCTTACAAGTTACTAATAATAAAAGTAGCTAATATGAACAAGTACGCATCATCTGCTCATTTAAGTTGACACAGTCTGTGTGCAAACATTTTAGCATACTGATCCTCCAAGCCATCAGGGTCTGAGAATCTACTGGCCCAAAGAAGAGAACAGTGGCCAAAATTTAAATGGATGAAATGTGACATATCATCAATTTTAGCAATAAACAATAGTTTCCCCTGGCTAAAAAGGTGAGTGAGGTGGTAAGTTTTTATATCTTCTTGTGTTTTTGCCTATTCTCTGGTCCTAGCAGAAAGAGCATCACAGAGAGTTGTGGAAAAAACCTGTGAGAGGAGAGGAATCCACAGAATATTTTGAAAAAAATTGGGGAAAATGTTGCATTCTGAACACATTTAATGGGACTGCTTTTTAAAATGATCCTTACTCTGCATTTCATTTTTTGGCTTTCTTTAAACTTCTTTTCTGGCTGCTTTAGTGCTGCATCAAAAAGATGAATGGTGGGAACAAAACCTCTGATTTGATTGGAAACCTTCACAGACACGCCCTTCTTGTGAATTCCTTGCACATTGCACTAAAAAGAGATGATTACTGGACTATAAAACACACTTCTGCAAGAAAACTATATTTTTCAATACTTCATTCCATGAAATCATTCAGTTACTTAATAAAATGTTGATCAACTTCTTTATCAAATTTATTACTTATTAAACTTTATGTCAACCACCCATTTCAAATAATTTCCTCTGAAATTATATTTTAGGTAGAAAACTGTCTCATAAAAACAAAGTTTAAGTTTATTCATGGTAACATAGGCATCCACCTGGATGGATGAAAATGACAATATAAATGTAATTTTAAATGAGTATGCTATTAATCAATTACAAGTTGTGTGACTACTCCTAACTTAATGACGACAATTGTTTAAGCCAAGTTACTTTTACTACTACTCAATTGCCAATAGTTGCAGCACTGTCCTCTAGATCCCTCCTAGCAAAAGCAAAGGAGAGAAACTGAACTAATGCAATGAGGGTTTCTTCTTCTTTGGATTTCATGTAAACTTATCTAAAGTATAACATAAAAACAAGAGTAATGCTTTTTCCCCACTCTCACCTCTACAACCATCCCTGGGTGAATGTCTTGGTAGCCAAGGAATTTCTGATTTAAAACACTCCTGAAGGATAAAAGGCCAACTTGTAAAGCGTATATGCTATTAATATACGATTATGAAAAGCACTGTTACAACTTAGGTAATCTGTTTTATAAACACTGCTACATGCAGAATAAATTGTACACAGTTTAGTTATCAATGCAATTTTAGTTCTTTACAGTTAATGTTACTTTATCTTTGAAACAATGCTGAAAATATTTTAACATGATAATTATTCAGTGCTTCATTGCATGTATTCTGTACTTACTCTTTGCATGATGCAAGTATTATATTGTCC